TGCCACTAAGTACATGGAAAGTTAGATGGAAAGTTGAAGGTGATGTCGGATTCAGATTACCATTCAACTTCTCATCCAATTGTTGTCTTCCCATGTCAGTAGCACTTGATGCTGTTTATTTAACAAAAGTGGAGGAAAAGTTGGAAAAAACTTTTCACTATCTAAATTAGACATAATTGAGGCCTTGGGTGCAGAAAGGGTATTTCTACATTGCAATGTCTTAACATCGCCACTGCTAATTTATATTCTAAAGAGGAAACTATTTAGTGAATTTTCTGAACTTTTTCGTTTCCAGCAATGTAAAAAAATTCAGTAGAAGTTTCAACATACAATTAGCTTTGATTATAATGGATGAAACATTGATGGAGACACCGCAACCAAGAAATACCCATTCTGCACCCAGCACTTCAATTTGTAGATTCCTGGGTGACATCAAGGCGGATACCTACTGCCCTGAAACATCCTGCGCTTTTGTGGTCTTTACGGCATCGGTCACCCATTAGTGTGCTCAATTCAGATAGCTTAGCAGGCTGTTTAATATAAATATTGTAATGCTCTGGAGTGCTTACCGAATATGCCTTGCGGTACATGAGAAGAATCGTCTAATCTGGCTGCATCTCTGAACAACCTCGACTGTTAAACGAGACAGCGTCCTCCTCGAGAAACTGTGATTGATGGTAATAAAAATCACGGGTGGTAAAAATGCCAAAACGTAAGGAGTATTTAAGTCTTAGTTGACTAAATTTTTTAACCGAAGGCATCGTTCACGTCATGCAAATGCCAAAAAAATGACTTAGCAGAGGTCCTGAAAACCACCCTTTTCTCGGATCAGATAGCACAAGCTCGAACACAAACACGAATTCAAGCAGGAGACTCGTGTAGAAATGGAGTCAATAATAATTGAATATTAGTGAAATTATCAGGCACTTAATCAATTAGAGTAATATCCAACCACCAAATCACAAATCAAGCTTACGAACTTTCACTGCACAAGAGGAAAACAAAATAAAAACATCACGGATGTGGCAGCCTTGTTGTTGTTGTTTTAATGTTCTGTCCGGCAACACTGTAAGCACGTGACGAAAGATAAAAACGTAAACAATGTGCGCCCGGCACCACCATCGGCACGCACTGCTTCAAATTCATCATCATGCATGATACGTGATACTTCTCTGCTTATTCGACGGAATTTTGCCGATTATTCTCTTTACTAGCCACCCACCAAATGCTCAAATATCTTGAGACTCCAATCTCCCGTTGGCTTTCAGTGACTTTTATAGTGTTTCATAAATTCAGGGAACAAATTTGCTTGTACATTCAACAATATTCTGCCTTCCTACTCCTCTTCTAGTAATAGGATGTGTTTCTTCTTTTGTGGTAAGAAATCCCTTCTTCAAACTTCTTTTCTCTCTGGAATACTATGCACTTTGCACTGCCTCTATTGGGTACTTTTTTGTGCCGCGCAATCTTATTTTTCACTTGCACATTATCCGGATGCTCTTGGAGCTCACAGGTAAGACAGAATCAGGCGAGCCAAGCCACAGCTTGCCTCACCTGCTTTCATCCCACCTGTGGAGTCAATGGGCAGATAGGTAATACACAAGTGAGGAACAAGATCTCACTGCACGCTACTGTTCATCTGGATTTATTTCGAAGATTAGTCTTGAGGAAGTATAAAAAATAGAATGTTTTGTACGATGGCTCAGATTCGGTTTCCAAAGAGTTAAGAAATGAAAGCTGTGTTTCCACAGTGAGCTGCCAAGTGCAGTTCTGTTTGATAGGGACAGTGATCTTAAGACTTGGCTTGAGCAGTAAAATCTGAGTACATTCTTAATGTAGTGTTGGTTTGAAAACCAAATTGACAAGATTTTGGATAATTTGCTCGGGAGTTGGCAGTTTGTTAAACGTTTCGTTTGCACACTTAAACCTGGTCCGGGTTTTCACGATTTCCTTGAGCTTGGAAGCAGAGAAGTCAGGACGCTGCGCTGCACTGATGATGGGTCCAATTGGACCCGAAATGCGTCTGTCATTGCCTTCCTCACTGGCTAGGTATAATTAGTGTTGCTCAGCATTTTTCTGTATGAGGGAAAATCTTGCTCAATTCAGTTTTTACCTTTAAAATGAAAATTTCAGTCGTGAGTTTACTTAGTTAACATATGTTGGCAAACTCGCCAAGACTCTTGTCTTCATCCGTAGGTTAAGAGTGGGATGGAGGTTATAGGAGCTGATATCAAGGAGTCTCTTTTATTGCAGTAAAGTAATTGCTGAGCATGACTGCCAAGCTAAGGAAGAACACCGAATGAGCATTTGAATATTGCTAAATTCTCTATGAGAAAATATTTAATATGGAAAAAAATTAGGAATATTTTTCCCTTAAAATGTCAGACTTTTTAGATGAAATTGCAACCGAAATCCTCTGTGAAATTGGGAGAAAAATATTCACAAATTTTCGGGAAAATCCGATGGCTTTTGAAGGAAATTTGGCTACGCCTGATGGCTCTTATTGTGTTTTTCCCTAGCATAGCAGATTACCAGTCATTTCAACCTAATATACCTGGAATCAACAGTTTTTTGCTGTGATTCTGCTCTCCTTGTTCTATGTCTTATGTTTCATTCAACTAGTGAATTGAAATTTACATTTGAACGGATTGGAAGCAGCAAAAACATGCTGTATTGATTTATTCATAAGTTATGTATATATTAATGTGTATGTTAGTCTATGGTACTTTTAGAGATCAACATTGTGTTCTAGTCATCATGAAAACTGTGAGAGAAATATCGTTTCACAACATCTGCTCATTTGTAAAACCATTAATGTAACCTTAACACCATTAAATCTCTTAAAAATTTCTTGTTCTAATGTTAGTAAAATCTGGAATACTCTGTCTAACTATTTCTTTGAAAGAGATTATAAAGGTATTAGGTATTTTGAAAGCTTCTTCTGCTGTAGGAATTTTAAAATTTTGTCCTAATGTTATATTTTTACTGAAAATACAGAAAATCCTAGGCCCAGTCTCTCAGCTTATTTCACTGATTGCAAAAACCAATGCTCTAATGATTGAGTCTTAAATTAAAATTTGATGCATACTTTTGAGTCTTACCTATAAAAATACTTTTCTGAATTCCAGTTTTTAGTTCCAGAATTTTCCAGCTTTCTCCACTTTTCCAACTCAATGGCTTTGGATTTTAAGTTAATCAAAGATGCTCCCCCTATTTGATGTCTCAGAATGCGATCAACCTTTCTTTGAAGCCGTCATGTAACTCACCAATCCCTCTTCCTGTAAGTGAGTTTTTCTTCCGTATCCCAAGTCTTAATTATCCATTATTCACCATCAGGTATTCATGTTGAAGCTAACTTTTTGTGTTGAATTTACTGGCATATCTTAACGTTTTCATTCAAAGTTTTTTATTTGTTTCTTGTTTTGTGACAAAACAGCAGCCTTATATGCTTCCAGAAGTTTATTCATTTTTAGAAATATTAAAAAGTCTGAACTGTGAGAGTCCTGGATGAATGTAGGTAAGTATGGGAATTGTCAATGGACAGAGGCAAATTATATAACAGCAGAATAATTTAATACTTAAAAAGTTAGGTCGAAAAATTGTGGAGCAAGTCTTTGTTAAGAAACACCCTTCAGAGTTCTGGAGAATTTTTGGGAATTGGTTCATCTCATTTTTATGCCAATGCAGAGGGTATGGTACACAAGGGTGTAACAATCCTTGTACCCTATTTAAAGCTGATCGCACTTAGAAAAAAGGAACTAGCACGATTATACAGTGTTTTCAAAATTGTGCAACTTCTCATCCTCTTTCCAAAATACCGAATGTATGTTCAGGATTAAAATTTGCATAATTATTTTCCTTTCAAATTAACAATTTTTTGGTGGGAAGCCAAAAATACCTGCTATTCTGGGAGATTTTTTAGATAATTGTAAAGAAGCAACATTTTTACGAAACTTTAATCGCGCCTGTCCCTTTTTGCTAAATGTGATCCAATTGTTGTCAACCTCACAGCGCAAGCTTCGCCAATTTTAAAGCTTTTAAGTTTTAAGTACCTTTTTTTTTTTAAAAAAAAAAAAAAATCATAGGTACACCAAGTGAGCTTCGCCAGAAATTTTTTTTAAAATGCATACCTTAAGCTCTCAAAAAGAATTTGAGTATCCCACCAATTACCTTTGCTACAGGTAATGCCATTTTTCCTATTTTTCTCAGATCCCAGGAGAAGTAATGTCAAAGGCCAGTTTTAGCTATTCAAACAAACCCTATTTGATTGATTTTCTCTGTTTTTTAGTATCCGTCCTCTTATTGCATGCACGAGGGATTTAATTTGATCACAACCTCTGAGTGTCAATACCAGGCTTTTTAGCACAGAAAAATGTTTGAAATTCACCCGCATCCTGTGATATCTATATGGGCAGTAGAATCAACAGGAAATCTTGAGTCCAGATTTGATCCATCGGAAGTAGAATTTGGATGGGTTAACCGTTACAACAGAGCCATTCTGCTCTCTTCCGAGGGATGACAGTAACTTATTGTTAGTCAAAATCTAGGGACTTTTTAATCCTTCATGAACCATCTTAACGCATTTACATACCAGTTATAAATGACTAATAATCTGCTTAAATTTTTTTACGTTAAATTTGTAATGTTTGACATAATTTTGTTACATTTTATAATGTACCTGCTTTTTTCAGGTTTGGGATTTTATGACGTCCTCATCTTGTCATTCTACTTGATATCCCTTCATGGCGGTATTCCTATATGCTCTATACACTGGAATGAGTAGAATGTTTGTCCCTGCTGAATTCTTGACTGTTTCTGAAGTGTTCAATGCATGCTCTGTGGCTTAAAGTAAGCGTAAGTGCGACTGTCTATTATTCAATCCTCGGGCTCCTTGTAATGTGAACTTGATTGGGGCTTGAATATCATTGTTCATAGTAGTTCATTCATGTGTATTCTTCAGTTTCTAATCAACCAGCAGCTTTTAAAATTTTCTCTTCAAGCTCTCATTAAAATTGCATAGAGATCCTCTCTCAAGTCTAATTGGGTGTTGGTACATTATCAGTGTAAAAAAAACCATGCCCTCTGGAAATAAGCAAACTAGTTCCTTTCAAGGAAATGAAAGAATGCTTTTGAGTTTTTTTAATTCAAAAAAGAAATTTCTTACTGATTTCAAGAAGCATTGTTGTGAAACATCGAAAGCTAAGGACTTTTACTTCTATGTCCTAGCAAAACTGAAAGAAGCTATGATAAAAAATAAATTAGATGATTTTGAAAGACTTTGTGATGTTATTGACTACATGAATAATGTAAATATCACAAAAAAAGAATTTCTCAATGCTGAGGGAAATCCTTTCTTTGATACTAATTTAATTATATTAAGTTGTAAGCATAATAGACCTCGTGTTCTAAAATATTTGTTTCAAAGCAATTGCAAAGTCTTGGGTATTTTGGCCCCTGAAACTTCTACAAGCGATTCGCATCATCCAGATCTTATGGATTCAGAACAACATAATGCTTTTTATTATGCTATCCAGTCAAGTAACGTAGATGTTCTTTCAACTCTTATTGATCAGTGGCCAGGAATTTGTTTTTCTTCCAACCCCCATAAATTAGACGAACTTCTTTCCAAAGCATATGAAGAGCTAAAATTGAAAAGAGTTTTCCTGTCGGAAGAGATGGAAATATATGTCGAGAGTAAACTATTAGACCTTCAGTTTTTCTCTGAAAATTCTGTCTCAGTGAAACCTGTTGAAAGTGATATTAACAATATTATTGAGCGCACAAAATTAGTTTTGGAGAAAATTTGCTTCTTAAAATCCGAGTACACTAATGCAGATGTAGATGAAATATTTTTACTTGATGCTAAATTCATCGCGCAGAATTTGTATGTACTAAAGAGACAGCTAAAATCAACCTACAGCAGACTACCATGGGAAGAAGTTGAGTTTTGTTTGATCTGTTTTGTTCTCTCTTGTGTAAAAATCCATAAAATGAATGTATTTTTTAAAATTCATTTGAATAAGAGTCTCATACTACGCCATCTCAAAATTTTTGCTGAAGAATTGGACAAAATAATGTTCAAGGAACATGTGAGCATTCATGAACTTTCCACTCTTCCAAATAAGCAGCGTGATTTAATCGTAGCACAGATTACTCTCAACAATCCTGAGTTCAGTGAATTATACAAGGTGTACAAAAAGGTTCGAGATTTATGTTCCCTAGAGAAAATAAAGCACTATTTAAAATTAGCTATCTTTGCAAACTCTAGTGCCAGGGAAGGACAACTGTCCATAATTCGAGCTTTACAAGCCATTGGTGAATATTTCAAGAATACACTAGAATCCCCTAACCTTTCGGAGACTGTGAGAGAACTCTTGCTTTCATCTTTACCACGTAATACAAGGAAAGTAATAATTGATTTAAGGAACACATTGTCACACTCCGGTTCTCTCATGCAAAGAATTGAAATTGAAGAAAAAGCCGATGTTGGTTTTTTCAGTGGTATCCAAAACGATGCAAAAATAATAGAGAGCTTAGTTGCTGATATTCTCTTTAATAATAAAGTTGAATGTATCGAGTACCTCTTAAAAAAAATTACCTCAGCCGAAAGCATTGATGACTTAAGAGCAATACTAAAAACTTTTGATAATCTTGATTTTAATTTGGAAGAACGAAAATGCTCCAATTTTTCACAACAGGAAATTCCTCAAACGTTTCTTAATCCAAAATCTTCTTATATTACAAAGCAGAAAAAGCTTAAAAAAATGGTCTTTGAGTTGAGAGAGAAAGTAACTGCTTTAACTGATAGTGAAGAAAAACTGCTGAGTGTGATTAATGTAAAAATGGAATCCTTAAATATCCAACCAGAAGACACAGATCTCAACTATACTGTGGCTATTTCATCAATACCAGCTTTTTTTCATACGTTACATGATACAGTAATGGATTCAAATACTTTCAGAGGTCTCAAGTTTCGAGCTAATCAGGCACTGGAAAGAATCTGTTCGAAAATAAAACCTCGTGATTTGAAAAATATCATTGACCTGTCCATGTGTTTGTGTGTAAATATGATTTCAAAATTGAGTGAAAAAGATGAAAGGCTTGATGAATATAATAAATTAATGAATGAATTCGTTTATTTTGCTGAAGCCGAAACTAATGATATTCAGTGGATTCAAAAATTAAGACAGAATTTAAGTGGAAAAGGCCGTTTTTTTTCTATTGAGACACCAAAGAGTACTTTTAAAGGGACAGCTTTCAAAAACAATTACAAACTTAATTTGAAGCTGAATGAATTGCGACATATTCTAGAAATCGATGGTTTTGGAGGAGAAACAACTGAAAGACTGATTTCCTTCACAAAACAAAAAGAGATCCGAACGGCAGTAGAAATGCTTCTCTTGGACGTATTGTCGATTTTAGGCGACTCCAAGAAATATTTGGAAAAAAATCTTTTTTATTTAGATGATCATGTCCCTCTTTTGATCGGGAAATGTTTACGAGATCATTTAGCGCATGGCAATGCTTTAGTTGATTTATCATCGCTTAATCCAGCCTTTGCAGTGATTTTGAATGCAAAAAAACTCATCAGCATTGAAAATGTATTAACTAGCAACTATAAAATCGGCAAATTTGTGCGAGATAGTCCCTCCTTTGTCAAAACGAAACATGACCGTAAATTAGCGATTGTATCCAACCAGGAAAAAATGTTTGCCGCATTGGCTGAGGGAAATTTACAGTTGCTAGAAACTTGTCTTCAGAACGGAGCAGATTTTAATGCACGAAATACCAAAGGACAGACTGCATTGCATTTCGCAGCTATGGGATCAAATGTTGAGGTTTTAGAGATGACTCTTGGACGAATTTTGAACCCCAATGAAAAAGACTCGATCAATCAAACTCCTCTCCATGTAGCAGCTGAACATGGAAATTCGAGGATCATAGAGTTACTTTTAAAAAATACAAAAATACAAGTTGATGAAACTGATACCTTTCTCAAAACTCCATTGCATTTAGCAGCAAAGAATGGTCACAAGGAAACAGTCCTAGTGTTATTGGCAAATAAAGCCAGTACTTTTCTAAAAGACGCCGGGGGTAATACAGCTTTACATGCCTCGGTCTCCCACAATCACATAGAGGTGGTAAAGACTCTATTGGAAAAGGAAGTAAACGTAGATAGCAATCAAACCTCAGGTGGATACACATGCTTACATATTGCTACCGAATTTGGCTTCCTGGATTTGGTCAATTTTCTGCTACTCAACAATGCCAACCCAAATGCCTTAACTGATCTGAGCAGAGCACCTCTACATTCAACAGCACTAAATGGTCATTTAGAAGTGTTACAGGTCTTGATCAAATATGGAGCCGATGTAAATTTAAGGGTTTTAGATGGTTGCACTTCTTTACATTACGCTGTAGAAACCGGGCGTGAGCAAGTAACCCTGGCTTTACTTCAACATGGAGCTGATCCTAATATATGCGACAAGGAAATTGGCAACGGACCGCTACATTATGCAGCGCAAGATGGACATGAAGGTATCACTAATATTTTACTTGATAATGGAGCCAATGTGAATGTTACTACTTTAGGAGGTGAAACGCCATTACATCTGGCTGCTCATAATGGTCATCTGAAAATTGTTGCCACTCTTCTGAAACATGGTGCAAATATTCATGCCAAAAATTGCTTCTACACTACACCTCTGCATTATGCAGGAGCTCAAGGTCATCTAGAAATTGTCAAGCTCCTTGTCAAGAATGGAGCTGATGTTAATATGGAGAATACTCTCAGTCCACCTCCGTTATTTGCTGCTGCTTCAGGAGGTCATGAGCATATAATCAAATTTTTTATAAAGAATAAGGCTAAGGTTAATGCAAGACATACTAATGGTTCCACAGCATTACAAGAAGCTGCTTTGAAGGGTAAAGTTGATGCTATCCGTATTTTATTGCAGAATGGAGCTAAAGTTTCAACTGAAGATCATGAAGATGTAGTAAGTCCAATCAACGCTGCTATTACTAGTGGATGTAAGGATTCTGTTGAGCTTCTAATCAACAATAATGCAGATGCAAACAAAATTTCGTATTTAGGTACAGCTATCAGTGAAGGTCATGAGCAAATAGTTCAGCTTTTGTTGGAAAAAAAATGTCAGGCTTATTCAAAAATGTTAAAAGATGGGTCAGCACTGTATCTAGCCATTCAAGAGGGGAACAAAAAAATTGTTGAGCTTTTGATTAAATATGGAGCCGATGTCAATGCAAGTGAATCATCTTCCACTCCACTAATTTGGGCAGTGAAGTCTAATAAAGTGGAAATTGTTGAGTTACTTCTAGCCCATGGAGCCTCCGTCAATGATAACAAAAATCATCCGCTACCTCTTGCCATTCTCTCAGGTTTCCAGGATATAATAGAGGCTCTTCTGAAAAACGGAGTTCATATCCATCATAAAGAAGTGGAAAATATTACTTTCTTACATTTAGCGGCTGTAAAGGGTGATGAAAGAACAGTGAATGCTTTGATTCGTAGAGGTGCTGAAGTCAATGCTGTAAATGTTAGAAACGAGACACCATTATTTCTCGCATCTATAGAAGGTCATGAAGAAGTTGTCAAAATTTTAATTGCAAACAATGCCGACGTGAACATAATGAGTGATTCTGGTACTGCTTTACACCTTGCTGTAGGTGGGAAACATGCGGAGGTTGTTGAAATTCTTCTTGAAAGTGGGGCAAAAGTTGAAACAAAAGATAATAAAAACAGAACTGCTCTCGAATTGGCAATTGCTCGTGCTGATCTGCAAATAGCTAAAATGTTATTTCAACAAAATGAAGTAGCTATAAATGCCCAAGGTAACGATGGATGGACAATGCTCCACATTGCTGCTCAAGAACAAAATGTTGAAATTGTAAAATTTCTGGTCGACAATGGTGCAAATATGAATGCAAGAAATAACTCAGGCTCAAAACCTATACATATTGCAGCCAGAGAAGGCAAAAAAGATATTTTAGAATTTTTCTTAAGCAAGGGGTTAAGTATACATGAAATCGGTGCAGCAGGACAGACTCCATTGCACTATGCTGCCATGAAAGGCCAGCTAGAAGTAATCAATTATTTACTAACTAATGGTGCAGACGTAAATTACAAGGATTTAAATGGTTTAGGACCTATTCATATTGCAGCCACTCATAGCACTAAAGAAACTGTGAAAATTCTTCTGAAATATGGAGCTCGTTTTGATTCAGCTACCCATTTCGGTGTTAAGTTGGAACCCACTAAAATGACTAAAGACAAAGATGTTTTGAGTCTATTAGCATCAACAGAAAGTTTATTTGGATCTGTGCGACAAAATAATGCTGTGCTGGTTAGAAAGTTTATTAAGGAGGGGGGGTTCATTGATGTCAGACACTCTAAATATGGCACCCCTTTACACTATGCTGTATGGAAAGGCTACGATGAAATCATCAACTGCCTGTTGGAAAATAATGCAAATCCAAATATAGTCGTTGATAAAGGTTTCTCTCCGCTGCATTATGCCGCAAAATATTCTCAATTCCAAGCAGTTATTTCGTTATTACAGAAAGGTGCTATTTATGACTGCATCTCTGATAGTAAACAAACACCCCTTGAACTTTCCAAAGACAAAAAAATAACCAAGATATTGGAGACTGTGGACCAAGCTTTCAGCGATGTCAAGAACTCTAATATCAGAGTTATCAGTAATCTTAAAAGAATAACCGATAAAGAAGTAATAAAAGCTATAATGCGAGCTCGTTGCAAAAATAACGATACCCTAATTGTTGCTGGAATTCTCAATAATTTTCCAAAAGTAGATCAGTTGAAACAGACATTTCAAGGTAATGTTTCAATTGAAAGTATAAATTTAAGCTCCAACAGCATTATGTTGGAGTTGGAAAGCATACTTGATAGAAGAAAAGACATACTAGGAGAAGATAATCCTGGAACATTAGATGTACAAGTAGAAATAGCTGCATTACATTATTCCAAGGGAAATTACATTAAGGCATACAATATTTTAGATGTTGTGTGTACAAAATTCGTGGAAACTTTAGGCATCAACAATGAAGATGTCTTGCACGCCAAAAGTATATTTGCATTGGTGCTGCATCGAATGGACAGAAATGAGGAAGCTTTCTCCATATTTCAGGAGATTTATCCAAAGCAAAAGGAACTGTTAGGACCCAATCATAAAAGCACTGAAGATACCTTATTTCACATGGCCTTAGTAATGGAGAAGTTGGGTAAGCACGAAGAAGCACTAAGTATTAATACAAATTTATTTGAAAGTAAGAAAAGATCATTAGGCGAAAATAATGCAGAAACTATAAGAGCAAGAAATAACATGGCATTAGTGCTTTTAAGTCAAGGTAAGACAGAGGAAGCGTTATTTATCTACAGAGAGGTTTTGGAGAAGAAGAAATTAGTTTTGGGGATTCAAAATCGCGAAACGATGAGAACATACCGTAGTATTGCAAGCATTCTCTCTCAACAAAAAAAGTCTGAAGAGGCACTGAAGATTTTTCAAGAAATCCTTGGTATTCAGAAAAAATTCCTCGAACCAAATCACCCAGATAATTTGTGCATTAAATTTGCCATCGCTGAAGAACTTTTCAAGCAAGGTAAACATGTAAGTTCATTCAAAGCCTTCAAAGAATTATGTGAGCTAGGGAATGTCTTCCATGGGGCTGATGAGAAACTTGCATTACTTGCTAAACAAAGAATGGATATGATACATTTGCTTTTAAAGCTGAGAGACAAAAATATGTCAGATGTCACTGGCCGTCTTGAAAAAAATATATTTACAGCAGCCAGTGATGGTGACTTACCAAGTATTCAAAGGCTACTCGAAAATGGAGTGAACATCAATGAAAAAGATAATAATGGAAGATCGCCGCTACACTATGCCATCAGCTATGGGCACGCAAGCATTGTAAAGTTTTTCCTTGACAATAAAGCGGATCCCTCTTTAACTACACACAAAGGAAACACACCACTGCACACTGCTGTAGCCAAAGGTCAGAAGAAAATAGTGGAAATGTTGCTTCAGAAGGTAGCTCGTGACAAAGTAAATCATCTAGTCAACTTCGGCACTACTTCCAGTATGACCACAGCACTACACATCGCCGCCAAAAATGGCTCTTTGGAAATTGTAAAATTATTATTAAAAAATGGAGCAATGTTTAATGTTAAAAGCAAAGAAAATCAAACTCCTTTCAACGTTGCCACCGATCAGAATATCTTGACCTTTTTAAAAATAATCGAAGATTTATTTGAAAGCGCAGAAAGAGGAACAAATGAAATTATCAAAAAGTTAAAGGCTGTAAATTCTGACGACTTCAATACTTTATCAAATGCTCGCAACAGTCAAGGAAATACTCTGCTCACTGTGGCAATTGCCAAGAAGCATAAACACCTTGTCAGCCAATTGTTGAGCATGTTAAAGCATCAGAAGTAAACTATTTTTTCGTTGCATGTGTGTCCCAAAAATTAATGTTTTATTTTTATACTGCCCAGTAAAAAATGCTCCCACGTCCTTTGCAATACAGTGCTGCTACTTTGTTAGTTTATCTACCATTATTTAAATCTACTCTTCATGGGTATTATTAATAAAACTGTACTTCGGCTTTTATTTGTAAGCTCCTTAATTATATCAGCATTTATGAGCTTATTGGAGAGTTTTTTCACTGCGACAATTCAATAATTCTATCTTGCTCTTCGCAGAGACACGCCAACATCTATGTGATTAGACCCAAGTTCTTTTTACAATCATTGTGAAATCCTTTTTACATATTTCGGTTTTTTATTTCAGATTTTACCCATTAAAATTTTACTAAAAGTTAAAGGAATGAAAATCAACGGAAGGTTTCTAGTTTTGATTTGTTTAGTCATTCAATATTACCTGAATAAGTTACCCTAAAGAGTAAACATGTTTTTTTATCAAAATTCCATCCATCCTTTAATACCACTTATGAATTCTGAATACTTATTAAAAACTCATTTTTGTTTAGTTGTTTTTTACTTCAGTCGTGTTTGGCAGGACTGCTGCCCATCAAAACACATTTAAAGCAACAAATCTCCAAGAAAAATGAAAAGTTTTTAATAAGTGTACAGTCTTTATCTATGAATTTTAACAACATATTCCAGTATCCAAGTTTTAGCCTCATTTATGTTTCCGCTTTAATATTTATATTAGCCTTCTTTGCATTTCATTCCTCCCGCTATTGCTGAAAAGTGCTGACATAAACTCTTTTAGTCGATGTAAAAACTCAGCCTGCATATTCTTTTGAAATTTTGAAGCAATTTTGCGTCATTTTGATAGTTCACTTATTATGTATTTTTTTCTGAATTTTAATGCTTGTTTGTAATATGTAAATCAACGGTGAAACTACTAGACCACGTATCTTGGTTTGCGACATTTTCGACTTCCTGCCACACTCTTATCTTTTAAATGGAAAACTACTCCAAGTCAGTTCTTGAAAACTTACGTGTTTTTTCCTCTATATGCGAAGAAAACTCAGTAAAAGTTTCAAGAAATGATATTGATTTGTTCTCCTTCAACAAATAACATGAGAGCAGAGATTTTTAAACACCGCAAACGAGATACGTGGTCTGGTAGTTTCACTGTCCATATTTTTAATATATACTCTTGGATGAAGGTTTTGCTGACCTACCCTATTGCTTCTTTAAACTCATTCTTTATTTGCAATATGGTTGGCTAAATTCGAAGAATGCAAATCTCAGATTGCAACGTTGTAAGTCTCTGCCCATGTTAAATTTTTTTAGGGAAAGGAACCAAAACTTTTTATTGAAATTTTCAGTAAGTAAATTCTTTTCTTGTTTCTTCAAAAATCACACAAAATGGCAATGGAACATTTCTTTTCCTTGAAGAAAATAAAACATAAGCAGTGCTTTTTTGAACGTTGAATTTGAGCTACGCATTGTTTGTATTTAGCCATCGATGTGTCCATCATTATTTGCTTGAGCTGAGTTTTAATTTTTTCTGTTCTTTTTCAATATTTCCCATTCACTTACATTTGCTCGTGAAATTTACAATTTTCAATACTTACTGAAGTCACATCAGAACCTCATGAATTTAACTTCAATTGATATTTGCATCACTTCACTCAATCCTCATTACTCATAAGTTTAAATCCTTCTTTATTACCGAAGAAAAAATCAAATAGGCAGGAATTTTCTCCAAAAAGCCACATTTCCTCCTCATCAGTTTTTCTATGTGAATTATGATTTCTCAGACCTACCTAATTGCTCTTTTAACCCATTCTTTACTCCTTGTTTCTCTGGTAATTATTTTTATCTGTTCATTTTCAATTTTTATTTTTTACTTACGCTCTCTTGCAATCTTTGTGATTGTCAATATTGTGATTGCATTCATTTCTCAGGAGTAAAGCATTAATTTATCATTGTATCACTTCACTTAATTCGCATTACTTCCTTGTGAGTTGGCCATACTGATTATATATCTCGGAAGAATAATTCAATGAGGCAGCTTTCCTCCAAAAATATACATTTCCTTTCCAACAAAGTTTTTTTTAGAGTTTCTTGATATATTAGGTTAAGCTTGTACTTAATAATAAAATAGGATAGTGATTTTAAAATTTAATGACAATTTTCGCAGGTGCTTCTTAGTTACCTTCTCCATTTATTAGCTCCATTAAGTGAGATTCCATTTATTACAGGCTACTTCAAGCCAACGATACTCATTTAGTGTTATAACCTTTCTTAAATATATTTTTTATACCATTATGTTATTCTTTAATATATCATTTAATTTTGATAATCTGTCTACTTTTTCTACTCATGAACACCTTGATATCTTAATTACATCATTTTGATGGATGGTACCTATCAATTTTCAGAGCATGACTTAGCTCTATTATTTGACCGCAATGCTTTGGATAGCAAATCCATGGTATCTACATATTTTGCGTATAATTTCATTGTATTTAATGTAATTACATGTGAAAATATCCTGAGGTAATTAATTCACCCCTCCTTTCCTGTATATATTCTCAAATATAGATTTGTCGCTGTCCATTCATACTTCTCTCCCTTTTTTTGAAATCACGGATCGAACATGGGGTCACTCTCGCAGAAAAAAAAAGAGAGAGAGAAAAAAAACAGAATCAGCATGAAAATAGTGAAGTCGAAATTTTAAATAATACAACCCTAGGCAGTTTAAAGCAACGTAAGATAAGAAGATAAGATGATATGATAAGAAAGAGAGAAGATAAGATAGAAATCTTCGAGTAGTTAACTATCGTTGCTTGGAGTATGCTATCTGGCCTACTTCATAAATTGAAGGCGAAATAGAACGCACGTACACTCCAACACCATTTTCCGAATTCCTCTCTTCTAATTTCCTGAAGTTTGCATGTCCTTGCAAGATCATGGAAAAAGCAAAAGTCTGCACTAAAACCACGCAATAGCCAAAACTTTGAATTTTTGCTTGCTATGTCAAAATGTTCGAACTACCTGTGTTTTCATGATTTCGGATTCATAGGATCATAGGAATGACCAAACTCGAAAAATGCGAACCGACCTCTGATTGCGACGCTGCAAATCTTCGTTCATTTTTCAATTTTATAAAAACAAAAACCAAAAAAAAAATTGTTTTGCCTGAAATGCTCTGTGATTTGGACGCATTTACGATAAGAGGAACTATGTACATAGGGTTTGCGTGTAACATATCGACGGTGAAACTACCAAACCACGTATCTCGGTTTGCGACGTCGCAGACTTCCTGTCATACTTTATTTTTTAAATGAAAAACTACTTAACATCCAGTCTTGAAAATTTCTGTGATTTTTCCTCTTTGTGCGGAGAAAATTCCGTGAAAATTTTAAGGAATGATATGGATTTGGTCTACTTCAAAAAAATAAAATGTGAGCGTAGATTTTTAAACACCGCAAACGAGATACGTGGTTTGGTAGTTTCACCGTCGATATGTCCTTTCAGCATAAATACGTCCATTTGTACATTATTACTTCAAAACCATTTTTTGGAAATTTTCGAAGAGATAGGTATAATTTTTGTTTTAAAATAAATGAAACTTAATTGAAGATTAGTGAACGTTGCAATAGAGTTATGAATTTTTAGGCTTTCACCAGCGATAAATGCCTTGGATGGATGACAATTTATTGCTGCAGCAAGGAAGATGTTTCACAATTAATGACGAAATAGCAACGTACGTAGACCCAAGCATTTGCGCCTGTCATATCCGAGTGCCAAAACTCCCTCCATTTTCACAGTTTAGAACTTTTTAAGTCTTTAGATATCCATCACTGCATTGAAGACGATTTCTGGCCGACGCGAAAAATTGAATGCGAAACTTCGAAGTGCGTAATATCATTTCATACCTACCCACTCTATTTACATTATGCTGCAGTTCTGCTTCGTCAAAGATTTTCAGTCGAAAAATGAAATTGGTACTGATGACAGAAAACTTCGTCCAAAGGGCTGTCGAGCTTTCTTTACTAGGTATACAGACTGTCTCTGTTACAAGCACTGAGTATTCTGTGTCCACGACCGAAGTCCTGCTCTGGCAACAGTAACATTTTGTAACCATAGCAAACTAAACTCGGGATTGTTGTCGACCGAGTATTTTTAACCAAAATCCAACATTTCTAAATTTTGTGTGTTTATAATGGAAATTCAAGATTAAGCAGAATTGACACGGACGGAGAGGACATAAAGCAAGTCGATGTTGCGCCTTCAATTTTTCGGATGCAGACCTGGAAACATTTTGTACCTAATGCAAACCATATTGTGAAGAAAACAAGCTGGAAGGTGACGCCATTTTTCTGTCAGAACGGCATGCGATGTACCGCATCAATTGGCTCCATTTTTTCAGCTACTCGTCATTTTTCTCCAATTTTGAGATCGCAATTCTGTTGTCAGGAGACTAAAGCACTCACTTACCAATTTTAACAAAGAAATTCAACGTAATAAAGGCGTGGTTTTTTCAGAGAGAAAATATCGCATTCGAGTGCAGTTTCGATATCAGTATCGATTGCGATATTTTCTCCCTGAAAAAACCACTCCTTTATTACGTTGAATTTCTTTGTTAAAACTGGTAAGTGAGTGCTTTAGTCTCCTGACAACAGAATTGCGATCTCAAAATTGGAGAAAAATGACGCGTAGCTGAAAAAATGGAACCAATTGATGCGATAGATCGCATGCCATTCTGACACAAAATGTGGCGTCCATCGAATCACCTTGAGGAACGACCACGAGTAGATACGGCCCAATGTTCGGAGTATGTAATTTAAGGATTGTTCTGCCAGCAGAACCAATCATTTGTTCCCTTTTTTTCCCCTCTTGACTGAAAAACTTTAAACGAAACAGAACTGACAGAGAGAGAACAAGGAGACTACTCTCACCCATATTTCGTTAAAAAACCCACCTCTGTAAGAAACTGCGAATCATGCGCGAATTTTGGAACAAAATAAAAAACTCAACGCAGCAAGCAAATTTCGCCTTCAATTTTCGGGGTAGGCCGGAAAAAAGTTTATTGTAAATCATCCGGTTTTCGTCGTTCATCAGGAAACGGTTATGAATACGTTCGACCCACACTAAACGATTCCGGTACCACTCACCCACAGACTCATCACCCATGGTATACAAATATTTGTAATTCACCCACAACTCTTGACCCACATTACTTAACCATCATGCACTTATAAGTATACATGACTTTTTTCAAAAAAGGAGTTTTGACCCACATGCAGGTATTTACCAATATCTGCAGAAGTCGTAGCATGGCCGGATTCACCTACTTGCCGCCCATTGGCCGCCTGTATTTTGCCGCCCTCCTCTCATTCGTTTTGAAACTCGATAAAAACCATCAAATGAACTTGTCAGCGAGGGAGGGGTGCATAAGACGCATTTACTCGTGTTGAACACATTTTTTGGGAAAGCCCTGTCAACACTACTAGCAAAAGTTCACGGAACTTTGCGCGAAAGTTAAGTTCCGTAAACCTATATCTCTGTGTGGACAAGGCCTTCCATTCATAAGAAATGAACGAACAAATTATGAAAGAACAAACATAAATGTGTTTCAATGATTTTGACTTCCACCGCCGCGCCGCGCAGACCGCACCGTGTTGGACGCAATGCGTGAAGTATTCACGCAGTCTTGTAGGCGCTATGCGTTTCACGCTGACCGCACTGTGTTTGGCGCAATGCGGGAAGTATTCATGCATTCTTGCAGGCACTATCCGTTTCACGCTGACCGCAATGACCGTACTGTGTTTGATGCAAAGCGTGAAGTATTCGTGCAGTCTTGTAGGCGCTAATATGCGTTACATGCCGATCGCCGCGCCGAGGGCTTCTTCTTCTCATCTAAAGTCCTCATTATCATTTCTCTCCAAGTCGCGCCGTTCTAGGCCAAATTGCGTGTTTGGTTTCTCTCGTAACTCGACTTATTGAGGGTGCTGTCTTTTGTATCACCAAGACAAAATTAGAAATTACTATACTCTCAAGAAATGAGAGATTTTGTCGCATTTTCTCGTTTGTAATTTTGTTTTTATAAATCAGATTTTTTTTTTATACATACACTTTAAAAAATTGCAAATTTTTGTCGCCCCTAAGATTTGCGCCGTGGGCCGCGGCCCATGTGGCCACCCCCTTAATCCGGCCCTGAGTCGTAGGTGAGGTCCCGTTGAATGAGACGAACTTGATTTCTAATTCCACTTTCCGGATATTTGGACGTAACTGCGAGAGCGGTGCTCAATTCTAACCTTTGCATTTTACCTCAATTTCACCATCAAAATTGTTTTCTAAGCGGAGAATCGAGTATAATAAGTTAGGTACTGGACGCTGCGATGGTCATCGAAATTTAAATCGTCCGTCGGGGATCATGATGAAGTAAAATGCGTGAAACAACTATTTTAACTCCTGCGCCGCTCAAATTGCATCCGTCGAGTTGAAGGCGAACTTGATTTCTAACTCCTTAATTTTCAATTATTTGGACGTGACTATGCGAGATCGGTGCTCAATTTTAACTTCTGCAACTTGAGATTTGATGGAAGCGCTTTAGGTACATGTAAAAAGGCAATATCTGTGAATGCAGCAATCTTGGGTGGAAACGTGTGCGTGAATACATAGTTTTCCCTAGGTACGGAAGAAAGTAATGAAATCTCAATGTTGCCAAATTTACCCCCGCAAGTTGTAGTTTTAACAAGCGAATCTTCGGAATTACCAACTGAAATTTTCATTGATTTTTCTTCTGATCTCATGCAAAAATAAGAATTTTTTGGACAAAAATTCCACAGGTAGGTATATTCTTGTAAAAAATCGATTTGTTTGAGTCAATTTTGCAACATTGGAATGGAGTCATTTTCCTTCGTCGGAAAAACGACGAATAGCCCCCAAAAGATTGTTGGTGAGTAGTCCTGGTACCCAATGAACAAATTAACTGAAAAAATTCATTTTTCCCTCCTTTTTTCTGTTTATTTTTCTTCTTTCTTATTTTTTCCTGCAGGTTTACCTAAGCATTGGCTTATATTCCGTTAGGACGCACAGCCCTTCGATACCAGATTTATTGTCCGTAGACATGCATCAACGGATTAAGACACATCCATGCTCTAAGCTTTTCAAATTTTCAGGGATTATGGCCGAGCAGAATCTGTTTCAGCAGATTCACTCGTCAGTTCCGTGCATAGAGAAAAAGTAAAAAAGAGGTGTTTGCATTTCGGGCATCCTTGATTTTCTTGTTGACGTAAGTCAGCACGGACGATTTTTATCATAGATTTTCTAGGAAATGATGTAGCTTATGGAAAAAAAGTCATTATATACAAAAGTTTAAAATTATATCATGAGTTGATGTAAGCACAAAAATCGGACGTTACGGTCCATTTTTCATTTTTCGACTTCTGGATTTTGCCAGAGTAGCTGTAACGACTTACGTCATGGGGCAAACAATCCTCAAGACGCAAACACCTCCTTTTTCTATGCTACCGTGCTAAGAGAAAACGCCGTAACTTTCAGGGGTTGCCAAATTTCCTCCAATAAAAACCGAATTTACTGGGAAAATTGTGAATATTTGTTTCCATAATTTTCTCACAATGTTTTACGCAATTTATAATCTAACATATCTGAAAGTTTCAAGGAAAAATAAGCATTTAATTCCGTCGAAAATACATGTTTTATCGATGAATATTTGGCAACTCTCGAATAATCATACCGCGTTTTTCCTTAGCACGACACACGGAAAAAATTAAATTGCTGATTAACAATTCAATTGCTAAAAAATGTGACGGCAATGTTTCAACGTAGATTTTACAACAAAAAAATGCTACTTTATTACCCCTATTGTAAGCTACTTTAACCACGGGAGTGGTTAAAGTAGCATTTTTTGTTGTAAAATCTACGTTGAAACATTGCAGTCACTTTTTATAGCAATTGAGTCGTTAAATGAGCAAATAATTTTTTCCGTGCAGTATGAGTGTTCCGCGGGTAAAAAACTCACCTTTATAAACTGCGAATCCTCGGTTCCCGTAGCACTGAAATCCCAAATAGCGACACAGACCACAAGCGATCACAGACCAACGTTCATCGCACTCTCTCGAATCACAATAAATCGAACGTCATCGAACTCGTCACAAAAATGTCACACTCGGGGAGGAAGAAGCGCACGTTGACACCACTCTAACGCGACGGGGAGGGAAGCGCCAAGGCTCGCGGCTCTGTCGCGTCGCGGGAACCGTATCGATTAAGCGCAAAGCTGCCACTGAGGCGGGAGCATCCCTCCGAGCTTTGCGTCCAAGTTGGCGCTTGCGCAATCCACGCCGTTGCATCACGCCGCCGCGCCGCGACGACGACGTTGGGTCTCGCGAGGGTGCGGAGCGAGGCTGCCGGATAGCGCGGTAAAATCACCATATTCCAAATTAGCAGTTTTTGACGGGGAATCCCTGGTAAAAATTGGCGATAGGAGCTGCGTTTCAAAATACCATAGGAGTTCTAATAGCCGACTGAAGAAGGCCTTGTCTCCACGGGACGTTTTCATGGGATTTGTCCCAAGTTCGAATCGCAGGAATGAAACTTCTGGGATTTTTCCCAGTTACCGTCTCCACGGGACGGGGCTCATACAGTCCTGCGACTAGTTTGCGCGGGAAGATAAATTAGTTAACGTCGAGTATTTAACCGGGATTAAAATAATAATTGCACTCAATTGACAATTAGACACATTATTTCAACCAAACAAACATGAAAAATGTAGTAATGAATAAAATATCGCACAATTCGTTTTCACTTCTTCTTCTTCTCTCAGTGGGTCCTAGGGTTACAAGTACCATACTTGGTACTGGGAAAAATATTGATTGACTCAATACTTTTCCCAACTTCGTAAGTGGGATTTTTCCCTGGGACAAATCTCGCGAAACGGGTCGTGGAGACAAGGCCGACGGCGATAGAAAATCATATAGTTTGCTATGGAAAGGGGAAAAAATTGGCCTCCGGCCAATTTATGCGCGGCGCTTCGCGCCGCGTACCGGCGCTACGCGCCGGCATTTGGGGGGCTTCGCCCCCCCATCCGCTTAGCGGATTGGTGCGGNCGGTGTTCTTCCTTGGCATACTGGAAAAAAAACAAACACATTGGATCTAGAGTCAAGACTCTTAAAAACATCGACAAGAAAAAGTACTCTTGATTCAATCAGAATCTAGCTCAAATCAAGAACCAAGCCTCTTAATTTAAGCGGACTCCGTTTTGATTCAAGCAAAAATCCGATTGAATCAAGAGTATTTTTTCTTGTCGATGTTTTCAAGAGTCTGGACTCTAGATCCGATGTGTTTTTTTATCCAGTGCGACTACAATGTTTCAACGTAGATTTTACAAGAAAAAATGCTACTTTATTACCCCTATTGTAAGCTACTTTAACCACGGGAGTGGTTATTTTTGTTGGATATTTTTTGTTGTAAAATCTACGTTGAAACATTGCAGTCACTTTTTTTAGCAATTGAGTCGTTAAATCAGCAATTCAATTTTTTCCGTGCAGTATGAGTGTTCCGCGGGTAAAAAAACTCACCTTTATAAACTGCGAATCCTCGGTTCCCGTAGCACTGAAATCCCAAATAGCGACACAGACCACAAGCGATCACAGACCAACGTTCATCGCACTCTCGTCGAATCACAATAAATCGAACGTCATCGAACTCGTCACAAAAATGTCACACTCGCGGGGGAGCGAGAAGCGCACGTTGACACCACTTTAACGCGACGGGGAGGGAAGCGCCAAGGCTCGCGGCTCTGTCGCGTCGCGGGAACCGTATCGATTAAGCGCAAAGCTGCCACTGAGGCGGGAGCATCCCTCCGAGCTTTGCGTCCAAGTTGGCGCTTGCGCAATCCACGCCGTTGCATCACGCCGCCGCGCCGCGACGACGACGTTAAGTCTCGCGAGGGTGCGGAGCGAGGCTGCCGGATAGCGCGGTAAAATCACCATATTCCAAATGGACCACTAGACAAGGTACGAATTTTATCATTCTGATACATGTTTCTTAAGCAGAATTTCACGTAGAACACGATTTGCGCAACGAAAATTACTGAAACTAACTCCTAACGGAGATATCAACATTTTTATTTCACATTGGTTACGAGGAATTTGAACTGCCCGCTCACAAGAAACTCAAAGCTCTACGTGAGTCAAATCGCGCACTGCAACGGTTTCAGCAATCTTCTCAATGGAGCAATGTTCATTTCCCACCATGTGTTGTTCAAACTATAAGCAATTTGCTACAGCTGAGCCAAAGCGTCAAGACTGAGGTTGCCAGATTTTTATATCGCAGAGACTGTCATGTTAACGTTTAGCTTGCGATGTGAATCACGTAGAGCATTGAGTTTTCATGAGCGGGTCGTTTCAAGTAACGCATCAAGAATCATCAAATATCTTTGTAAGGAGTTAATGTCGGTAATTTTCGCTGTGCGTATCGTGTTTTACGTGAACTTTTGGTTAAGAAACATGTATCAAAATGCTGAAATTTGCACCTTGTCTAGTGGTCCATTAGCAATTTTGACGGGGAATCCCTGGTAAAAATTGGCAATAGGAGCTGCGTTTCAAAATACCATAGGAGTTCTAATAGCCTACTGAAGAAGGCGATAGAAAATCATATACTTAGTTTGCTGTGGAAAGGGGAAAAAATCATACGGCCGGGCTACACGAAGCGATAAAAAATTATACAGTCGGGCTATAGTTCCTATCGGCGGGCTTTACACTTTATCGCCTGGCTGTTGCTTTTTCGCCATCGGCTATAAAAGGCTATAAGAAATTGTGTAGAAATTCGTGTGCTTTGTAAATCCTTAAGTTTGTACGGAATCACCTTAATATTTACGAAACGCACATTATTTTTTTTTCATCATTTAAAATGAGAATAATCCATACAGAGTGTGCAAACATCTCAAAGTCATGAGTTGAAAAACGCTGACTCCACGAGATTAAATATTAGAGCCTAACATAAAAAGGAACGGCGGCGCACTGGCGCCTACAAACCTAACAGGGATACTTCACGCATTGCGCAATGCGTGAAGTATCCCTGTTAGGTTTGTAGGCGCCAATGCGCGTTTCGGCCGGCTGTAGGTCTATGGTATTTTGAAACACAGATTCTACTGCCAATTTTTACCAGGGATCGCGATACTTTGAAATTAAATCGCGATATTGGTACGATTTTTTGGTAATAAAATCGCTAGGATCATCAACATTTCGACGATGTAAGTCGGCAATCACATAACTCGGTTTGCGACGTCGCAGCAGACTTCCTGTCATACCTTATTTTTTAAACGGGAAACTCCTCAACGGCAATTCTTTAAATCTGAAATGATTTTTCTTCTCTGTGCGAAGAAAATTCTGCAAAAACTTCAAGGAATGATGTCAATTTGTTCTCTTTTAAAAAAATAACACAGAAACGGAAATTTTCAGACACCGCAAACGAGTTATGTGATTACCGACTTACACCGTCGATTTGCAAGATTATCCTCGATTTTGTTACAGTTTTATCTCAAGAAAATCCTCTTCGGTAAAATCGATTTTCGAAATCGAAAATTTCTCAATTTATCACGAGAAACATGTCACGTTTTCGTGTCTGAAAAACAGTGCCCAAGATCGCGAGTAACAGTTTTTAACGGGAAAATTGCGATATTTTGAAATTAAGTTGCGATTTTTTACGATTTTTCGGCGATAAAACTGCTAGGATCATCAGCATCTAAGAGATTGTCCTCGATATTGTCGCAATTTTATATCCACAAAATCGCGTTCGATAAAATCTACTGTGTTCTACAAAATCGCCAATTCCCGCAGGTAGCCTTTTTTAACGGAAAAATCGCAATATTTTCGGCTTATTCTGAAATTAAGTTGAGATTTTTGTACGATTTTTTGGCGATAAAATCGCGCTGGGATCATCAACATCTGAGAGATTATCCTCGATCTTGTCTCAATTTTATCTCAACAAAATCGCGTTCGATAAAATCTACTGTCCTCTACAAAACCGCCTTATTCCCAAGTAAGCAATTTTTAACTGGAAAATCACAATATTTTGAAATTAAGTTGCAATTTATGGTAATAAAATCGTTAAGATCACCAACGTCTGCGAAATTATCCTCGATCTTGTCGCAATTGTATTTTAGAAAAATCGCCTACGATAAAATACTGTGTTCTATAACATCGCCACATTCCCAAGCAAGCATTTTTCAACGGAAAAATTGCAATACTTTGATTAAGCAGTTGCGACTTTTGGCGATAAAATCGCTAGCGAAAAATGCTCCTTGGGTCTTGTGTTTTCCTACCCCGAGGAGTTTTTTACGGCGGCATCTGAAAGGAGCCGTAGCCCACTGCCGTGCTGAGAAACTCAAAGTATATCCTTCAGACGTTGCCGTATTTCCTTTGATGAACTACGCTTTCCAATATCTTAACACGCCTGTTTACTTATTTATTCCCAACCTCGTGATTTCAAATGGTAAATCTCAAGAGAATACTGCAGTACCGTGCTACCGCCACCATAAAACACCCAATTAGGTTGAGCCGTTGAGCTTTATTATGCAGACGCCTGGATGCAACTATTCGTGCTCTATGGATGTCCGTATTGCATATCGCAGAAATGAAGGGGTTTTAGTGACGCGCAGTCGCAACGCTTGCTCCTTCACTGCTTCGTTTTCACTTTTCAGGCTCTATGAAAACGTTAGGTACTGCATTAGTATCACACAATATTATTCCTATTTTCATTGTTAGCTCAGGGCTGAATTTTTTATTTAAATTCTGAAAATTTCTGACCATGCATCCACGAGAAAATGGACCTTGGAGAAAAACAAACCGCCTTAATTGGACTGATTTAGTGCGGCTATTTTATTCTTGTGAAATTTGCGATTTTTTGAACCAAAACAACAGAACATTACCTCGTGCACGCAAATTCTGTGTTCATTAGGCACAATTTTGTCCGCGACAAATCATAAAACAATTTATGAACCATTAAACACAAGAAATGTCAATTGCAATTGATGCGTTTACATGCATACATCTCTATTTCCCTTTTGGCTCCTTTGTCTATCTCCTTGCCTATCGATTTTTAAAATCGGCCCGCTAAACAGCTTGAAACTTATTTCTCAGGACAGTAGAGAGCAATTTCCGTCGGGATCTTAAAACCGAAGTTTCTACCCTACCACGCCAGGGCAAAAAACCTGAAAATTTTCCCTCTGCGTTGCGTACTATGGTCATTTTTCCCGTGCACGATTAAAATCATGGAAAATATCCAGAGAAATAGCACAATATCATCCTGTCGCTAATCATTAAACTCTTCATTACCGCAGACTTCGCCGTTCATGTCGACGCCAGAATAAAACTATACGTGCTTTCTGGATGTCCATATTGCATGTCTCTGAATTGAAGGCGTTTTTAGCACTTTGCAATTGTTTTGTACGCCAGATCATTCACCGCGTAGCCGTTCCAATTTCCAAGTCTCTACAAGGACATTCTTGAACCGGTTTCGCCAGATTTTGTTATTCTATTTTTAATTTTAATGCTTCAAGTCGAGTTTTTTATTTTGATCGTAAGAATATTCTATTAAAAAAAAATCCAATTAATACTTTGCTCTTAGTTTGTTTGATATCTGTGAATGCAACTCTTCAAAGGTGTGTGGCTATTACATCAGAAACCTGAGTTTATGCCTTAACGACAGAGCTTAAAGAAAAATTTACTACAGACCTACCTTTAAAAGGTAATTAGCTATACCTACCTATGTGCAGGGTCGGATTTACCTACTTGCCGCCCATGGGCCGCCTGTATTTTGCCGCCTCCCTTCTCATTCGGTTTGAAACATCAATAAAAACATAAAGTGAACGTACCGGAGGGGTTGCATAAGACGCGTTTACCCGTGTTGGACACATGTTTTGCGAAAGCCCTGTCGACACTACTAGTAAAAGTTCACGGAACTTTGCGCGAAATTTAAGTTGCGTAATCCTATCTTAGTGTAGACAAGGCATCTATTTATAAAAAAATATAAAAGAACTAACCGAGATGTGGTTTGATAATTTTAACTTCCGCCACCGCGCCGCGCTGACAGCACTGTTTGGCGCAATGCATGAAGTATTCATTGCAGTCTTGTAGGCGCTATGGGTTCGAGCCGAATGATGCTGAACGCACTGTGTTTGACGACGCAATGCGTGAAGTATTTATGCAGTCTTGTAGGCGCTGATATGTGCTGCATGCCGACCGCCGCGCCGAGGGCTTCTCCTCTTCATCTCAAAGTCCTCGTCATCATGATCATTCATTTCTTCGAACCCTTATAATTTAAAGAAATACCTAGTGTATTTTCTTCGGAAAATACACTAAAAATTAATTTGAAGTACGTATTCGGAGACTTTACACTTTACTGGGAGAACATCCAATGCCCAGCATGAGCATTGGAAACGTCATTCGTGAACTCATAATCCTTAAACGACCGACTTGTTCCAAAATTCCAAATATGAGTATTTTTAAGGTGCATTTTGCTTTCCGTCGTGAGAGCGCGCTACACATAGTACTGATGACGTAAATTCTTCAGCAGTTTGTGACGTAAACTAGATACAAACTGTGTCCTGCTCAGGCTGGTCTCTGAATAACAGGAATAACAACACCGTAGTGAGGTTAGAGTTGTTAGACTTTAGTTAATCCTTTTCTTATCAGTATTCGTGCTGTAAATATTCCTCCAATCTTTTAATTTCACCATTCTACCAACCTACCAGTGGAATGTGTTTATAATAATCCTGTCCCATGTCCGTGAGAGTTATTATTTCCAACTAATAGAATTTTCATCATCAGACCATCAGAGTAAGGAAAGAGGCAGCAATGATAGCTCTCCGGACAGCCTATCGTGCAGCTTCTAACCGTGAGTTCCTTTCAAGACTTCAGAATCATTAGCTTAATTTATATGAGAGTTTCAATGCAGGTTGAACACTCATTTCACAATCTAAATCAAGATGTGCACATTAGCTATGCCTAGTAGAGCATTTTCACTGCGCACCTCGTACTGCAAACCATGGAATGTGCATTTTGAATGCACAAGCACATTTGAATGAGACAGTCCGTACAAACTCCTACCTCTTATCAGAGTCTATGTCAAATAATTTACGCATTCTTACAGAGCGACAGAAGATCTGCCATCTCAACTCTTATACCTACTCTTAAGGCCATTCTGAAGATTGTAGATCCTCTGTCACCCTCTTACAGTACGTAAACACTTGGGATTGACTGTAATCCCTGTTCTTTTCTAGTTTGTCACAGATCTGAATAGTGTGCATTCACACAAATTCTGTAAGCAAAATTGTTGTTTTGCTTGGTTTTCATTTCCATCTTGCTCTATGACCGTATTGAGCAAGTAACTGGTGCGCCTTTGCTGCCTCTAGACTTTGCAGTGAGTCTGGTCTGAATTTTTAAACGCTACATTTGCCCAGTATTCCAAGTTTATAGGTGTCAAAGCCTCATGTTCAAGCGCATTTTACCCATGGCACCTAATGAAGTTGGAACATCGCAAGAAACAGAAGAAACTTACTTAATGTTCAGCTCTGGTCACAACGCAAACGAACTACCAGACTCGCTGTCACTTTTAGACTTTGTTCTCATTTGTGATCGTATCTGTTAAAAGGGACCTTGTCCTCCGCAAGAAAATTTTCCTTAACTTCTTGTAAATGCATGAAAGAAGAAAATGCACAAATTCTAGGGTAAGTAAGTGTGACCCTCAAATCTAAAAAATTGAAAGAGATATTAGTCCTGATCCTCCAAGACATAAATTCTCAGGTTGTAGAAAAACGAAGTTTTACTTTATGCAGAAAAGTATCAAAATTCCCAGCAGATAAGGTCCCTTTGCACCGAATCAGTCTTATTTTTTGCTAAATCCAGAAAATTTGACCTCCTATCCTGCAAGTAGTTTCAGTGCTCTTACTTGTGCATGCCCATCTCAATCTGAAGTCTCTGAAAATTTTTCCAGTTTTCAGTCATGCCTCTCCTGCACTGAGCTCTATCCATCTAGGGCAGTCACTTGCATTCAGTGGGAGCAAAACCGTAGCAGAGCCTCATAGAAGCATTTTTACGTTCGCCAGAAGCCCATGTGTATCGTTGCAGCCAGTCTCCAGTTTTCTCCAAAGCTCATCTGTCTTACAGGAGTAAGTGTAGCATATACTGTTTACGAACCACAACTCATCACATATCAAAGAAAAAATCAAAGATGCATTTATCTTGATTAGGAAAGGTCCGCTAGATAAGGTGCGAATTTAAGCATCATTATGGTATGGTATACATGTCATACCATTAAAATTCCACGTAGAAGCTGATTTTTACAATAACAGTGATCAAATATATAGCCTGATTTAAGGGCCTTGGAAGATAAGGCGCATAAGTGCAGTTTTTATTATTTCGAACAAAAGGAGTTTGAAGTTCTGGATTTTACTTGGACCTTGGCAAGTGTTCCAAATACCTTCAAAATACACAAGCGTTTGTCTCACACCTTCATGAACATCTTCTGAAATTTTCAGATCAGTTGAGCCATATTGAGGCCAGTTGTTGAGCTTAAAGTGACGGTAGATTGCACTTATCTTGCATCTCCTCCTCTAAACGAAAAATGCACTTATCCCATTGCTCAAATTATTATCACATTCTACCAAAACTGTCGTTGTGCACGATTTGATCAAGTACTCTCTTGTAAGTGGGAAATCCAAATTTTTTGTAACCAATGCCAAATTAAAACGTTCATATCTTAGTTTGGAGTGAATCTCAGTACTTTTCCTTGTGCACATTGTTTTGTACGTGAAATTTTGACATGGGAACCTATATCAGAATACTTAAATTCATACCTTGTCTAGTGTTCCATCGGCAGCAAGTTTGCTGAATTGTGATCCTTTAAAAATTAAGCAGCCATGATTTTGGAACACTGCCATTGAGTTGCATGGTTTTCCAGTCTAATCATTGGTATATTTTCTTGAAGAAGTTTTTGTTGTTGATTGATTTTTGTAAAATCCCTGAAAGTATCTTTAAGTAAAGAATTCTAGGTACTTACCTTTCACTCTAAAGATCATAGGTAAGAGGAAGAAGTAAAGACCTCTATTAAAAAGGATAAAAAAAAACTAAAGGGGTCATTCCATATAGAACCTACCAGCCATGCAACCGCCCGACCCGGATTTTGATGATAAATTTTTTTCTTGATCAGACCACTAAATAATGAACTTCTGCAAAATATTAGGTCTCAAATCGAAAAACTCACTGAGATATGAATTTTGGAAGTTTTAAGAATTTTCAAGAAAGAGACGTTTCGAACTTCCGAGAAAGAGAGGGTCATTTTCCCCAAAAAAATTCATCCCGGGCCCATTTTTCGTCGGATTGAAGTGAAAATTTGACACAATGTCCATGAAAGTATGTAAATTTGAGAATAAAATGCATAAAATGTTCGACTTCACTCATTGATGTGCTGCGGTTGATAGTTCGTTGTGATTTTGTCTGATTTTAGCGACAAAACCTTCCCCTCTTCAAATGCTCATAACTTTTGAGCTGCAAGTTATTTTTTGCTCCAATTTTTTTTAAAATGCTCCTAAGAGTATTAGAAAGACGCCTAAAGAACAATTCTGATGGCGTTTTGGGCTTTAGTATCTTTTTTTTTCACTTTTGTCCGAAAAAGGCCTAAAAAACTGGAAATAACACCAAAATTGTTCCGATAATCGACCATTACCCTGAAAAGTCAACTCAAAAATCGCTCAATTTTTGCCTGAATGGTCCTTACTGTGTGTACAATATGTTTGAAAAATAAAATCAATGGTATTTCGGGTTTATATATCTTTAACTTCGAGTTTTTTCCGAAAAAAGGCCAGCAAAACTGAAAAACACTGAAATTACACCAATTATCGGCTCTAACGTTGGAGTAGCAACTCAAAAATTGCTCACATTTATACTGAATGGTTCTCACTGCATGTGAAATGCGTCTGGGGAATAAAAGTGATGGTATGTTGGGTTTCCATAACCCTTTTCCCAACATTTTTACTCAAGAGAGGCTCGCTCAACTGAAAAAAGCGCTAGGAAAATCTCATTAACCGACCATTACATTGAAAAAACAATTGATTGGGGGCCCAGATTTTTCACCAAAGGACTCTTGTTGTATGGGAAGCACACTAACTTGAGGAGTGAATATAGCAAGGGATTCACTCTTAAAGGGAGGGAAAAAATATGTACAAAAATCATGTATTTAGATATTTTGCGATAAAAAAATAGAATGTTATCAATAAAGTAACTGTAAGGTTTGCCCTTGATTTACTCAATTCAGAACTTAGTTGCTTTTTCAACTCGAAGCATTAAATTTACTCCAAAAAACTTTTTAATTCACGGACGCGGATGGATACATAAATGAAATCTCAAAGTCGTTTTCTTCCTCTGATTTGGATAGAACAAGCCCAAAGAACCAATGCCTATCACGCACACACGCAACAACGAATTTGTTGAGATTTCTAGCATAACTTTAACTTACTCTGGGTTAGAGTAATTATTCAGGGCAATCAAGATCGTAATCTATATCAGCAACAGTCTAATTTATAGATCTGAAAATTCAAAAGTTTTTTGAAGTAAATTTAATGCTTTGAGTTGAAAAAGCAACTAAGTTCTGAATTGAGTGAATCAAGGGCAAACCTTACAGTTAGGTACTTCATTGATAACATTCTATTTTTTTAACGCAAAATATCCAAATACATGATTTTTGTACATATTTTTTCCCACCCTTTAAGAGTGAAACCCTTGCTTGAGATGTTGAGGAAATAAATAGGTAACTCAATTTTTCAAAACTATAATTACAATACTTCAACTCTAGTCAGCATGAATAACCTCCCTCAATTTTTAACAATTTAATGTTCTGATAATTCCTATTAGAACTTTTTATCTTTTCCATTAATTTTTATTTCAGAATACATTTGAAAGTTATTAACCTCATTATGATGCCATCCAGGAGTCAGTAAATCACATTTAATGTGAATAGGGATGCTGTCAACACCTTCTCATCTTTTTGCCTTACATTTTCGAATATTTCTTATTAATTTTAGAACACTCATTAGTGATGGCTGGATTTTGTCCACTTTTGTCTTCTTCACCCCTATCTCCCAGCCATCACCAAGAATCACCCATAAATATAATTACTAAACTTGCAGCTGATAACTACACAGTCACAGATTATAGCCAGCCAATCTTGTGTAGGCTTGTTGTCTCACCACCCGTGACCTCAGCAAGTCTATATAAGCGTGCGCTGCCCTAAAACCTAGGTCTGTCTGTCTTTTCTCATCTCTTAGACCCCAGGTTCTTTACCATCTAGACCCGTACAAGTACGTTTGTGCCCACTCTCGCCTTCTTGCACATTTTCTGAGTGACTATTTTCTTTACTGTTTAACTCTTGTGATTCTGTGCTATCTCTTTTGACGCAGTACAACTCTAAATTTCATCTCCAAAAATTCAGTGTCTATAATTCTCAATCCATTCTAGTACTTTTTTGATTCTACCTTTGATTAAAAATCAACTGGTGCCGAACGGTCTCACAAACTTGCAACCCGAATTTGAGTCTATCACCCGTGACATACTCATATTCCATAACAGATGCCTATCAGTTAAGAGAGATACCTACAGTTTTATTTCCTTACTTTAAAGCCGATCGTAAAGATTGGAGTGAAGGGGAAAACTACTACAACCAAGAATACACTATATTCACTCCTCAAGTTAGTGTGCTTCCCATACAACGAGAGTCCTTTGGTGAAAAATCTGGGCCCCCAATCAATTGTTTTTTCAATGTAATGGTCGGTTAATGAGATTTTCCTAGCGCTTTTTTCAGTTGAGCGAGCCTCTCTTGAGTAAAAATGTTGGGAAAAGGGTTATGGAAACCCAACATACCATCACTTTTATTCCCCAGACGCATTTCACATGCAGTGAGAACCATTCAGTATAAATGTGAGCAATTTTTGAGTTGCTACTCCAACGTTAGAGCCGATTATTGGTGTAATTTCAGTGTTTTTCAGTTTTGCTGGCCTTTTTTCGGAAAAAACTCAAAGTCAAAGATATACAAACCCGAAATACCATTGATTTTATTTTTCAAACATATTGTACACACAGTAAGAACCATTCAGGCAAAAATTGAGCGAATTTTGAGTTGACTTTTCAGGGTAATGGTCGATTATCGGAACAATTTTGGTGTTATTTCCAGTTTTTCAGGCCTTTTTCGGACAAAAGTGAAAAAAAAAGATACTAAAGCCCAAAACGCCATCAGAATTGTTCTTTAGGCGTCTTTCTAATACTCTTAGGAGCATTTTAAAAAAAATTGGAGCAAAAAATAACTTGCAGCTCAAAAGTTATGAGCATTTGAAGAGGGGAAGGTTTTGTCGCTAAAATCAGACAAAATCACAACGAACTATCAACCGCAGCACATCAATGAGTGAAGTCGAACATTTTATGCATTTTATTCTCAAATCTACATACCTTCATGGACATTGTGTCAGATTGTTACTTCAATCCGACGAAAAATGGGCCCGGGATGAATTTTTTTGGGGAAAATGACCCTCTCTTTCTCGGAAGTTCGAAACGTCTCTTTCTTGAAAATTCTTAAAACTTCCAAAATTCATATCTCAGTGAGTTTTTCGATTTGAGACCTAATATTTTGCAGAAGTTCATTATTTGGTGGTCTGATCAAGAAAAAAATTTATCATCAAAATCCGGGTCGGGCGGTTGCATGGCTGGTAGGTTCTATATGGAATGACTTGGGTAATACAGTTGGTGTGGGTTTTTTCTAAATTATAGAAACTAAAATTGTTAAACAAGCTGGATCACAAGAGATACTTGTTTTCAAATCAGTGGCTGGCAATTCCGTTCTAGAGACCACAAACTTGAGTCATTACTTTTTCATAACATGGCTTGAGACTTTATTTCTTGCTATTTTGCTTTCAATCAGGTCAAGGAGAAATCAAGGATGTTCCAGAATTTATCACCCATACAGACCTCATACGAGAACGCAACTCTTATATGGTCCTAAAAAGGGAAAACCGCGGACCGAAAGGGTTGTCCTCCACAAATTCTTCCGCCTGAGATGGTACGTAGACGATACCATAACTTTTGTATTTAGTATGAATTTGATAAGTTCTCCGTGTTACCTTATATGAATGGAGGTGTAAGTATTTTGTTGAGAAAGAAAATCAAAGTTGCCGACAGGTGACTTTTTTTTCTTCTTTTAAAACATTGATTGTGAACTCAAGAGAATATGTACTTTGATTTTTAAGATTGCGGTGTTCTTTTCATAATTAAATTTTCTAACTGACAGCCACAAAAGTGCAGAATATTCCTCCAAAGAGCAAAAATTGGTTGCTATTTTAGCCTTAAATTCCCTTACTAGTTGTATACCTAAGTCAAAAGTTTACAATGGGCCAAAGAACTTAAAAAAGTCAACCCTCCTCTGTTTTTCCTTATTTTTTGCTTTAAAAGAAAAACAAGGAAAAAATACTAAAGTTGATGAAGCATTCTCATACACCAAGTTCAAACAGAGACTCATACCCCTCTTCTGTACCCCTGGATACCCAATCTTCGCTACACAAAATTTTGTAGAAATTTGCCCCATCAACGAAGAATGTACTTTGACGCATCATGCAAAAATGTTTGGCAATAAGTTCCCAGAAATAGTAAATTATGAGAAAAATTCGGAAACATTACAACTGAGATAGGGAGCTGAAAATGGAGCAAGAGGCTCCAAAGAAATCATTCCTAAGAAATTACAAAAGTGATTTTAGACTTTAGAATAAGATAGGTGCCAATTGCTTACAAATTTTTGTGTATCTCTTCCAACTAGTTACATATGTATGTGAATTAGAATCTCATTTTTACATTACACATTGTTTGCCTCCAGAGTAATGCATGGAATGTTGTTCTGACATTGTTTCAAACGACATATCGACGGTGTAAGTCGGCAATCACATAACTCGGTTTGCGACGTCGCAAATTTCCTATCATACCTTATTTTTTAAACGAAAAACTACTCAACGGCAATTCTTTAAAACTGCCGTGATTTTTCTTCTCTGTGAGAAGAATATTCTGCAAAAACTTCAAGGTATGATGTCAATTTGTTCTTTTAAAAAAACATAGAGGCGGAGATTTTCAGACACCGCAAATGAGTTATGTGATTGCCGACTTACACCGTCAATATGTATCAAGCTTACAACAAGACCTATCCGAGCTTTTGTAATCAAATAATTCTTCAGCCTTCTACGGTGAAGTGGTTGTAGCGCTGCTCTATGATCAGGAGGTCCTGGGTTCGATTCCTTGCCAAGTGACCTGAGTTGATGATCTCAAACAACAGTTATCTGGAGCTGGCTTGATCAGGGATGGAGGGGATGGGACTTCAGGGACGGTAAAGTGCAAGATTATCTCTCGTGGGATCTTTGAAGAGTAAAAAAAAAAAAAAACAATGAGGTGCAGTCCCTTAAAAATGATGTATGGCACAACTGTCTGTAATATTAATTCTTAGGATGTGTGATATTAATAACATCATACATGTACTGAATTTTTAAACTGTCAATTAAGTAAAAGGGGTCTTTAAAAATGTGTCTCTTAAGTCTCCACAAACCTGTTGTACTTTATCTTTTAAATAAATAACTTCTTAATGGCAATTTATTTTTTCGAAGATAAACAAGCCAACTTTACAGCTTGAAATTTACATGGAATATTCGGATTCTGTTAACGTGGAAGAAAATGAAAGATAGTTTTCAAAATAGAATGTTGATCAGATTTTAGAGATTAAATAAAATGTGACAGTAAATGGAGGTTTGTGGTTTCGCTTTTTGGCCATTGAAATGCATACCTCTACTGAGAAAATTTTGGAAAATCTAACTGGTGGCTGTGTAACATGTCATCTTTTGAACGCTGTATCTTGGCAAATTTGCCCTATAAACTCAAGAAGGTTTTCTAGAGCTGTTTAAAGAATCAATGTCAACCTCTTTTTTTTGTTCACTTGAAACTCCAATGGAGAATTTGCAGGTGTCTGAAATCTGGTGAATTTCGTTTCCGAGTGGAAACAATCGAGTGAACTGAACACGAGAATACCCTTGGTTCATATTAAGCAATTATTGGAGGAGATACAATAAAATTACCGAATCTGCGAATGTACATGTTTTTTTAAATGGGAAATGCCGCCCAATGACGCCACTAGACGGTGCATTTTCTTACTTTCAAATCTATTTTTTTACTATTTCCCTCATCAGAAAAAAATTATGAAAAATACTCCGAAATCAACTCTTTAAGCACTCTCAGTTGAAGCAATAAAAAAATGGCGTGCGAAGTCACCATTGTCGCATCACTTTTGGGACAACCTCAGCATTGGTGTGATACTTTGTTTATTTGTGCAATGACTGTTATTTAATTAAGAATATCGGAAAATTTTCTTCATTGCTGTAGCAGAGGCTCTGTTTAAAGCTGTGTCTACAGACATATCTGAAACGGTGCCTACACCCGGAAGAATTTCAAACTTTCATGTAAGATTTTGATATTTTGCATGTCTTCTCGGCGCCCTGCAATGCTCTCTGGCTGTCGGTCTAGTGGATTTTTCCCATGAAAATTTGAGCCCCTACCAACTATTATCAAGACTTTGCATTGAGATATATTTATTTTTATGTATCTTCGGATTTGAAAACATTTTAGGGATTTGATTAGTCCAGGAGTTAGGGATATCCGGAAAATCAGATGAGGGCAAAAAAAACTTTGCTAGAAACCCTGATTGTAATTCTGAAGCAATGGACCTCTAGATGAGGTACAAAATTAAGCATTCTGATACATGTTTCTCTACCAAGATTTCAAATAGAACACAATTTGCACATCAAAAATTACCGAAATTAACTCGTAACTAAGGTATTTAATATTCTTTGACGCGAATTCAAACTTCCCGCTCATGAAAACTCAATGGTCTGCGTGAGTCAAATCGCACACTAAACGTTACCGTGGCAGTCTCGGCAATACGGAAATATAGTAGCCTTAGGCCTCATGACGGTGTGGCTCAGCTAAAGCAAATTGTTCACACTTTGAACGATAAAGGTTGGGAAAGGAACAGTGCTAGATTGAGAAGCCTGCCGAAACCGTTGTAAGGCGCGATTTGACTCATGTAGAGTATTGAGTTTCCTGTGACCGGGCAATTCAAATTTCCTGTAACCAATGTTAAATTAAAACGTTATTATCTCAGTTAAGAGTTGGTTTGAGTAAATTTTGATGCAAGAATGGTGTTTTACATGAAATTTTAGTTAAAAAAACATGTATCAGAATGCTTAAATTTGTACCATGTCTAGTTGTCCATTGTTCAGAATATAGTTATCTCCTTGGCAACAGCTGAACCTGTAACCATTTGCTTTATTAATAGCCTAGTCAATGATCAGTCTTGGCTCTAGCCATATCTATTTCCTCCACTTATATCTGAAGCTGAGCAAAGCACAGATATATTTGGTAGCAAGAGTTGCCACAGTCAAGGAATGTTGGGAAATGTCCGGGAATTTTGGTTTCTCAGTGTGTCCAGCGACCGGAAAATGTCAGGGAATTTTTTTCGCAAGCGATTTTCGTGTCAGTGAAATCGAAAAACACGGATGTTTCAGAAAATGTTTCACGAATTTCACTCTTGCAGAGATTTCTACCAAAATTCCTACCAGAATTTCTGCTGATATCTTTTAATTTTAAAAACGAGGCAAAAATATCTCGCATAAGTTAAGGCACCATATATTTTGCTCTATTTATTACATTACTTTCCTAAAACACAGAAAAATTCCTACTTACATCCAATCAGCTCAACTGTGTCAAAAAATCAGGAATATTTTTCCCTTTTTTCAGGAAATGTTGGGGAATTTCAAATTTTCTCCCGGCACTTCTGCCGTTTTTGTCAGCAAAATCAGGGAATATTTTTTAGAAAATTTCCGGACATCCTGTTTTCTTAGGCACCTGTGGCAACCTTAAGGTAGCTTTGCCTGGAAACATTTTTAACATCATGTTTTTTTATGTTGCAGGGGCATGTGGATTCGAACAATAGCTGGGCGACACAAGCGATTATTCGGAAAGAGCAGAGAAAACAAAATTCGCTCTACACGGCACGTTATGTGCAATGCCCAGCAGTGTAGACTGCTTGATCAGATGACCCACGAATATTGGAAAAAGCCAAAATACTACGTTGATGATCCATATGAACCTTATCATAGCAGAGAGGAATTTCCGTACACGCGTATCAAACCGGTACCGTGGCCGTGAAGCGGACTCATTGGATAATAGTTGGTTCAGTACTGTTTTATACCCTAAAGTTGCATATTGTCGTTGAGAACATACATTTTCATAGTTGTTTGTAATCGATGGTATGATTTATTTATGTGATTGCTACACCTTGAGTCGAAAAAAAACTGCGCAAAATCTTTGGGAAACAAGAAAAAGACATCAAGTTCGTGTAAAAGGAGAGGTATCAATGAGAACCATATTTGGGCTCACCTTAGCTGAATTTCCTCATTTCTAAGATTTTTTGCTAATTTAAGGTCTACGAGGGACGTTCAATAAGTAAGTATCCCCCCTCTCTAAAATCCATTATAATGGACCAATTTTAAAAAACTTGGGCTCAAAATCTTCCTTAGGATATTTTGAGTTCAACAAAAAAAACCGCAACAAAATCGGACTATGTGCGGCCGAACGCGAGCCGTTTGAACGCGCCGAGGTGCTCGACGCTCCCGCCGAATCCGCGGGGATTTGAAGTTCGCTACAGGAGAAGAGCTTCTCTGCCTAAACCTCAGTCGTTCATCACTGACGAAAAATCAAAGAAATTTTTGTAGAATAAGGGGTTTACCTCACTTCTCCACATTACCAGCTCGATCCAAGCAGGTCTGATACTGAGACCAAGAGAACAGCTTCTGGATGCCACGCGCGTGGAAGTCTTTCAGCTGACAGGGGATGAAAGAGTGGACGCGGCTTGTTTGACCTCTTCCACTGATTCAACATTAACTCCTCCGAGTTCAGATTTCAGATACGATAATACATGGCAAACCAGACCACCGTTTATTCCCGTTCCTGAAATCTGAACTTGGAGGAGTTAATGTTGAATCAGTGGAAGAGGTCAAACAAGCCGCGTCCACTCTTTCATCCCCTGTCAGCTGAAAGACTTCCACGCGCGTGGCATCCAGAAGCTGTTCTCTTGGTCTCAGTATCAGACCTGCTTGGATCGAGCTGGTTATGTGGAGAAGTGAGGTAAACCCCTTATTCTACAAAAATTTCTTTGATTTTTCGTCAGTGATGAACGACTGAGGTTTAGGCAGAGAAGCTCTTCTCCTGTAGCGAACTTCAAATCCCCGCGGATTCGGCGGGAGCGTCGAGCACCTCGGCGCGTTCAAACGGCTCGCGTTCGGCCGCACATAGTCCGATTTTGTTGCGGTTTATTTTGTTGAACTCAAAATATCCTAAGGAAGATTTTGAGCCCAAGTTTTTTTAAAATTGGTCCATTATAATGGATTTTAGAGAGGGGGGATACTTACTTATTGAACGCCCCTCGTAAATCTTATAGCATTCATCTTAATTTGATTATATTTGGTGCCTCTTCAAGTCTAGTATTGGCCTAAACATGGGTCTGGAGGTCCATTTTGCAGAAAACTGTGAGTTTTGCAGGCTTTCGAATCCATATTTGTCCCAAAAATTTGCTTCGAGACCCATATTTACGTCAGTAGTAGATCTGAGAAGGGACTGTAAATGACCAAATTATGATGCATTTTGTAAAATATAGACTCTCAATGAGCAAAAACTTGTAGAGTTGAGGAAATTCAGACAGGGTGGGTCCAAAAAGGGCCCTTATCGATACTCCTCATTTTCTTCAATATTTGTGATCAGATTTGTGAAACAGGACCTTAGCTTTTGGGAAATTTTTTTATTCAAACCCTTGCAAATCTATGGAGGGAAAAAATCTAAAAACTTCAGCACAAGTTCAAGGTGTCCACGGTCAGTAAAAACCGGAAAACATCGGGAAATTCAATGTCATCAGGAAAATTGATAATGGATCAAAAAATTCAGAATGTGTCAAGTATTTTGTAACTGCATCAAAATGCTCATGAAAAAGTAAAATATTGGATTCAATTCATTAAATATGTTGATTTGTAAAATCAAACCAGTGTCAATCTTTGCACAAAAAATCAGGAAATTTCTTTTAAAATATCAGGGAAAATCAGGATCATCCAAAATGGAATTCCAATAGACACTCTGAAGTTTGACCAACTAATTGCGGTAGATACAAGAGTCGTATAGACGGCAAGCTGGAATATTATTGACAGTCTAAGCTCTGATGGGCAAGTATTCCCGGTCACTGATTCAGTGCTAGTTCACCCCCGATATTTTTTGCAGTATGCGTTTGTTGAAAGATGGGGACTCAAATAATTTTATTGATTAATTCTATTTCATGTCAATAATTTGATGCTGACGATTCCTTGATGTTAAAGTATCTAGCTCTCGTGTATTCCACAGAATAGGTATGAACGTTTTAAGAAGGTGAAGAGAATAAACGAAAATGCACCAAACAAAATACAAACAAAAAACCTGAGGTAAAGATCTTATTTCTGAAAAATTAAAATTTTTCGGCATGCGAAACGGAGATCAAACTCCATTTAATCTTTAGAATAGGCGCGAGACACCTCTCAGGGCTAAAGAATGTAAGAAGTCTAATTTACATAATCCTTAATTCTCAGCTGAGCTTTGAGATCTTGGAGTTTGATTCTCGATCGTGAGTGTGAGGAACTGCATTTCCATTGAAAGAATCTTGAACATCTAAACCGTCTTTTTCCTCTACCTACCTCAAGTGTCAGCTTTCGGCGCGATGAAAAGTGTCTCCTCGGAAGGAACTATGTGCATTTTTAACAGTTGTGGTGTGGAAGGTTTTTGGGAATAAACAAACTTACAAAAGCACCAACTGGAAAGCGGAAAAAGCATGTTTAAAATTAAATTTTCAACGTTATGATAATGTATATTGACAACTAATGGTTAAAATAGGTATCATTAGTATTCTCCTGTTGCAGTTTTCTCATCTTAATTTACTTTTCTGGAATTAAAAAAGTAATCAATATCATGTCATGAAAACTCTCATGCGATTTTTTCGTTTCTAAAAAGAACACACTGGGATAATTTCACATAATCAAGCTAGGACGTTTTCAGCTAAATAAGTGAAATTGGAGTGGAACCTTTCAGACATTTTCCTTCCTTGGCATTGGCATATACTTAGGTGATGACTATTCCAACCTCATTGTCCTAAAAAAGATAAACCGAGCCGTCAAGATTGTAAAAAAATCTTCGTTCACTCACATCGACGTCAAACAATTTATTCGGAGCATCGCTCTATCTTCAGCTATTCTTACAACTCTGATAGCTCTCCTTTCTGATTTTATGAGCATGGGGAACAGTCAGTCGTGATGAGAGCCGAGGATAGAGCGATGTTCTGGAACAATTGTTTAACAGTAAATTGAGTAAAGTAAGAGTTTTTAAAAACCTTGACAGCTGGATTTATCCTTTTTAGTTTGACATGCACTGTTTTTTTTTATCTTATCCGTCTCCTTTCATACCATTGCTCTAAGTTAAGTTTTAAGAGCTTGTCGAAAATAACTCGAGTTTCAAATCAAAATCCACAATATGAGTGGAGCAGGGAAAAAATTTGAAAAATTGAATCGACAGAAATTTTTTAGATGCCTTATTTTAAGATTCTCAAGAGTTGCCTTTAATTATTTTGCACCGTAATATGATGGCGAATTTCTTGGACATCCTGAAATCAAGAGAGAACTTGAAGATTAGAGGTATTCTACCGCGCTAAGAAAAATCGTCTTATGAACCTTCAGGCGTTGTCAAATTTCGTTTGATAAAATATGACCCTATTGGGAAAGCTGTGAATATTTTTTGCAGAAAACTTTGTTTGCACTTTGATCTAAAATATCTGAAAATATCAAGAAAAAATGTGCACAACTTTCTTCCAAAATAAACAATTTATTGGAGGAAATTCGGCAACTCTCAAATGTTCATACGACGTTTTTCTTTAGCTCAGCAATAGTATTGTATTGCATTATCAATATTTGAGGGTATTTTAAAATGGGCGGATTTCAATGTCTCCATTCGTTATTCGTTTACGGATGGGTATATTTTACTTTCTTACCAAGCACCACAGATCCTGTCACAATGAGCGTTGACTGACAATGCTGGTCCAACAGGTTTCCTAAGATAATATTGCTCATCATAGCCCCAAATCGTCCACTGAGCAAAGCCAAGCAAACTCCCATACCGCTGAAAATGAAAAGAATGAAGTCATGATAATCTCATATCATTAAATTTTTTTGTTGGCTCCATGCATATACTAGGCCAGTATCTATCAGAAATCAGTTAAAAAAATAAGGAGCCACAACACATTAAAATCAGATAGATGTTTGCTTTTTCGTTTAAGTGATTGCTTGGAAAAGGAAATATATCTATGATAAAACTTATAGAAAATGCATAAAGCTCTGAGGATCAAAAGATGGAATTATCATTGTACTAGTAAACAATTTGGTTAATCTACTTACATTTTCGAGTTCAAAGTCATCTAAATGAACTTGAAAGATTGCTTCTAAATGAATTAGGTAAGTACAAAAATATTATGTGTTTTTTTTTTTTTTTTTTTTTTTTTTTTTTTGTTTTTTTACAATTTTATTTTGCCCAACTCAACCCAATTTTAGAAATTCCATTGATATTGGTAAACATTTGGTGGAATGAGAAACAAAAATGCATCATTTTACGCCCTACATTTCACACCTCACTAGCCAAACAATTTAAGGCCTTGTAACTATTAGGCTTAAAATAGCTGGAAAGCAAGCCTAAGCGCTAAAATGCGTGGTTTCTAGTGTTGTACAAACTGCATTTTGTAGGAGTTTTATAAAATGTAACTTCAGTAAACTTACACAATGGAGGGCGGGAAAAGATCAACCATGATAGAATTATAAACAGCATGGGCAGTGCCAATCATGACGTAGAACAAACATGCTGTTGCTAGAAGCTTCATGGTAGAATCGACCAATATCAGGTACAGCACGGCGCCACCGGACGCCAGCATCAAAGTCACTGAAAAAATTGTGAGCAAAAAAAATCAAATAAAAATTGTAGAAACTTATTTTGTTTAACCTTATAAGTAGATAAAATTTTTTCCGGTCAATTCATGAATGAATCCAACAGAATGCAGCAACTGGTTGGCTACTAATGAGTTGGATTGCACTTCGCTAAAAGGAACCAAGAGCATTTCAATGTTGCTAAAATTGTGCAACTTTTTTTACCTTGCAAATATAAACTATATAACCATCTAAGCAAGTTGTATCTTCACTCCCAATAAATTATAGATTCAAGACGAAAATTACCTTTGTAAATTTAATTTTTTGCATGAATTTAGTAATTTTATCGCGGGGAATGTCAGTTGTGCAATACTAGCAACATTGAAATGCTCCTGGTTCCAGTCTCTGCAAAGTGCAATCCAATCGGTTTGAATCAAAAGGATTACATTTTGCAACAAGGAACCGCTATTTTTGGCTCCCCCATAAAAGCACATATCTGCATAGGGAAACCAATGGCATGTATGTTGTTTCTGAAATGGGTCAGAGATAGTGGTTCCTGATTGCAAAATATAATCCAAAACATCCTACTGTATTGAGGAATAACGTGCTACAAGCATTTAGGCATTGCAAAAGTTCCTCTGAAAACAAAAATAATTTTCAACTTTTGACTCTGTCACTTAAAATTTTTCTTGTAATTTTATGCGCCATTCAATCCAATGCTCCTGAAAATTTCCGGTGAGAATATGTAAAACTTCTTCCAAAATTCAGTATTTCATCACAAGAGCTTCGGCAACATTTGAATGTGCGTCCGGTCGGCGTTTTTCCACACAGCCTTAGCACTGCCGAAAGTTCAAAAACACGCAACTCAGATTTAAATACATCGCAGATCGCACAGTTTTCCCAATTTCAAATCGAGTTATTTTTGTTTTTTTCGTTCGAGAGCCTTTCCAGGGAGCTAGACGTGCGGCAAATAAAATTAAGAATTTTGAAGATAACCTCTTTTCCATTTTCAGCTTTACAGTTTCCAGAAAAAGCTCTGAAATTTAGCCGCAGGATGAATCTACATATAATAGACCGTGTTTGATGGTAGTTCGATGTATCGTTTGGTTCAAAACGATTGAACATAACCTCAAACAAATATTTTAGGATTTCAGCACTTTTTATTGGCATTTGGTATTCAAAAGAATAATCCAACTATCACAAAAGACCTGTTCCCTCAGATTTCTAAATTGAATTTTGAGGCTATGTTTACATGTTGAACCAATCGAGTTTGATACAATCTCACCTGTTTGATGTATCGAATGCGATCTGTAGAAAAAGGTGAAAGAGGTGCAACCGGGCAAATTAACAGACACATGCTGTCAGTATGCGCTCCTTTGGCGGCCGAGCGTCATTTCGAAATTCGCGCGTTTATTTTGAATTTCCCGCGTATCATGGGATGCAACATTCCCGCCAATTCCAGTGGCGCGCGCGGCAAAATATACAAATTCACCCGCCACTTTTCAAATAAGCGGGGAGTCCACTAGTCGCGCGCTCGCAGAACATCGGCGCCGTACCAGGCTTTTCCCTCCGTTGTTTGAGGTCGTACGAAGTCAGGAACCGCGGGGTTGGGTAGAAAATCGACCCCAAGGAATCCAAATTTCATAAATCCGACACCCCCCTCCCCCGGCCCGTATTGGAGAATTGAATTGGACTACATTTTGCAATTTGGAACTATAAATTCTGGCTCATCTGAAAAAACTCTTATGTGCATAGGGAAACTAATGGCACATACGTTGTTTTTAAATCGGGCCAGAATTTATAGTTCCAAATTGCAAAATGCAATCCAATTGAACCATGATCCATGATCACATGTAATCGAAGTGATTTTCTTGGGGTTAATAACGCGTAAACTAATATCATGGCTAGGATGTTGTAAGCTAAAAGTGAAATACCATTTTTACAGAGTGAAATACAATGGGCCAGTTGGATAGCATTTTGCAATTCGGAGCTATAGGCAGTACGGTAGGTTTTCAGGAGAGCAACTTTTGCAAAAACCATTGGCGTTTTTCCTTAAAACGATCAATCTTGCGGTTTGATGGTTCATTTTATAGTTCTGTTATCGAGTTCTTTTGACACCCTGTGTTGACAGATTCTTCGAAAACATCACACTGTTGCCAAAAATTACAAAAAAAGGCTATAGTTCCTTATTGCAAAATGAAGAATCCGGGAAACTCATTTTGCAATTAGGAACTATAGATTGTTTTAGCACTGACTGCATAAGGGAGACGACCCTGGTGTCACTATTACACATTGGAGGGTTAACCTCAACAGAGGAAACACCCCTTCCTCCCATCATACGAGGGAGGGGGGAGGTGCACTGCCCCTGCGGAAATATATTCTACCAAAAACAGGGTGTGCCAAAAATATGGATACCTACCGACTTGCTAATATTTCGAGAATGGTGGCAAATATTAACATGCAATTTGGACGGGAGGGTGTATAGATTCGATTGACATGAATCGATCGAAAATAGAAAGCTTGAATCGATCAACACCGACTCGATCGACAAATTATTGAAAAACCGGTGTCATGAATCCGATATGACCGACATGAATCGATCGAAAAGTTGGAACGTAAACCGATTGACGTGATTTGATCGGCACTGATTCGATTACGACCGTGAATCGATCAAAAACCTGCGAATCAATCGACAAATCCGTGAATCGATTGACGACCCCGTGATTCGTTCGAAAAATCCGTGAATTGATCGATAAACCCTTGAATAGGTCAACAAACTCGTGAATCGTGAAATTTTGAAAATTCGAAAATCCAAGATTAGGGATGTGGCCTAAAATGCTATCTCAGCTCCTGTTCGATCGATCATGCTGATTTTCGGTATCAGAGGGAAATCATCGGCGGCGGCAAATCTTTTGCGGCGCCGCACAGGAATCTCGGAATTCGGGACCTGGAAAATGCTTAAAAGTGGCGCCAGCTCTCCCACTTGCATTACGACTCTATGCACTCCATGCTTTGATGTTACCTGGCATGACCCGGCGGTCGACTCGGTAAACTTTGCAACGCTCTATTGCCAAAACGACCTTCGAACTCACAACAGGTAGCTCTACAGGTAGCTACTGCAGGTAAATACACAGATTAGTCCAGATCGCTAACATCGGCGGAAGAGCGTGAGTAGTTCTGTGAGCGCCATTGGCGGGAAAATCCATGGGCATTTAAAACTAGGAACCAAAACTGAAACTTTGGCTATTTACAGCAGATTTTCGGCGGGAGAATACTTCGTTTTTAGATTTTTGTGGGATGAAACGTTCCGAAGAATTCAAGAATTAGTTTCTCAGTAGAATTGATGTGGTTCAATATTTCCAGATTAAAAGATGCAGCACTTTCCCCCTTAATTTGGAATGTCTATCTCTCATCTATTCTGGATGAATTGATCTTCACCGCCAGATTATAATATATCATAATTTTGAAGTTTAAAGCCTTAGAAACCGAAAATTAAAGCAAAATCCTAGCAAAATGAGACTTTTGGTTCCTAGTTTTGAATTCCCGCCAGGCCCCCTATGAGAGCAGTTAATTGCTACCAACTGTTGTGAGAATATTGAAACAGAATACTTAGCATAACAGTACTTGATAAAATCCTATTTGATCAAAAACCATTATTACACATTACTAATCATACTTTCTTAAAGCTTTATAATCAGATTCAAGAGGAAATTTCTCTCGATCCGGTCAAGTTCTTTCACTACTGGTAGTGCCATCAATTTTCTAAAGTTGCCTAACCTGTAGCAAAATTACTCACGCTTTCTAAGCATTGGCTAGATTGGATGTTAGCGATCTGGACTAATCTGTGGGTAAATATGATTGAAGCCTTTGTTTCTGCGGATATGCAATAAGCGCTACCCTCGAGCCCGACAAGTGGCCTACCCGACGCCCTGCAGGGTGCTTTTGACGTTACCTGGCATGACCCGGCGGTCGACTCGGTTGGCGAGGAACCCGGACGCGAGGTTGCCGAGGATGCTGAGCCCGCCGATGATGATGTTGAAGAGGAGCGTCTTCTGGCTGAAGATCTTGCTGTCGGCGCTGTCCTCGTCGTCCGGGGGTCGCGGCACCGACCGCGCCCCGCACACCGTCAGCGTCGCGTTCGGCGCCAGCTTCCCCGCCTCCTCGTAACGGTCGAAGAACTCCGGGATCCAGATCCCCAAACCGCAGTACCTTTAAAATACAATTCGGTATGAGGGAAATCCGATGAAAGGGCTCGCGGAATGGATTGCATTTTGCAAAAAGGAACCAAGTGCACAATAAAAAAATAAAAAAAATGAATAAATAAATATAAAAATAAAAAAAATAAAAGGAGGGCAACAAAGCTAAAATCCACGAATAAAATAGATACGTTTCGGCTAAACTCAGCCTTCCTCAGTTGGATGAAATAGTAAAAAGAAACATGGCAAAAACCTGAAATAGTACTTGGCTGTAAAAAAAAAAAAAAAAATGGAAAATTTCTTTCATATAACAATACTCTCTCTTTGAAAGGTACAGCCAGGCACTATTTTAGATTTTTACCATTTTTCTTTTTACTAGGTACTGTTTTTTCGGCCAGATCAACCAAAAGCACAAACTGATTTGCGGTGGACGCACGGATCGTAAGAGTGTCATATGAGGTTTTTCCCTCTGTATTGAGATTTTTTAGCTTTATACTGACTTTTTAAAGCACGTTGGCAAAAAACTCCAACCAACAACCAAAAGTACTGGTTTGATGGATGTACTTGTTTGTGGAATTGTTGGTTAAATTGATCAAAATCGTAGGTTACTCTGAGGCATCTGGGGATGAAAAACGTGTCGTGCGCTGGATTCATGGACGTATTTCTGCCAAACAGAACCATGTGCATTATGACGTGATCCCTGTTAAACATGTATTCTTATGGGTATCAGAGCTCATGTCTTAAGACACATAGTTCTGTTGGGCAGAAATACGTCCAAATGGATTACATTTTGCAAAAAGGAACCAGAAGAATTGCCATGTTGCTGAGATTGTGCGCCTTCACCCTTGGCAATAAAACTACTGTAATCATACAAAAATATGAAATTTACATGGTAATTTTATTCTTAAATTTACAGTTTTTAGCGTGTAAAATAGGAAATTTTCATAGATGACCAGGTTTTCTTTCAAGACAAAGGAAGTTGCACAATCCTAGCAACATTGTAATGCTCTTGGTTCCTTTCGGTTACTTATCACCAGTGGCGAGGCGTGAATGATCAATAATCGATACTCCCCATTTGAGGCTGTGGTAAAGAATCGATTATTCAGTGTTCGTTGCGAACACCCTGTTGATAGATCCTTTTCCATAGGTTTGAATGACCGGCCGATCGATATATCGCAAAGCGTGCCACGCTGCTGATTGCGATAAAGCACACACGGAAAAAAAAATTGCTAATTCAACAATTCAATTGCTAAAAACAGTGAGTGCAATGTTTCAACGCAGATTTTACAACAAAAAAATGCTACTTTAACCACATTGTAAACTAATTTAACCACGGGGGTGGTTAAATAAGTAGCATTTTTTTGTTGTAAAATCTGCGTTGAAACATTGCACTCACTGTTTTTAGCAATTGAATTCTTGAATCAGCAATTTTTTTTTCCGTGCAGCTGATTTCGATAAGCTGCTGATTTCTTAACCCTGTGGCGAATGCATATTTCGAAAAGCAAGCAGGTAAAAGTCTACGCTTACCCGACCATGTTCGTGAAGATGACAGTTGTGCAAAGCACTGTAGTGTTGAGAACTGGAGGCTTGACCAGCTTTGAAACCTGCGTCCACATTATTTCAATTTTGTACACTATTGAGGAAAGCAGTTTCTTCTGGCCAGGGCCGATCAGCTCAACTTTTTGCTTTGAATTGAACGATTTAACCTGGGAAAAAAAGAGGAAGCTATAGAGAGTATCCAAGTAACATTCGGAATATTGAAATTTTCAGTTTCGAGGGGTGCTCGTTGCTGCTATGTGAGAACCAAGAATTGCTCCATTTATTTGAAATAATTGGACTATTGCCGCTCCCTCCACGAAGAAACGGATCTCGATCGCACTTTTTCAGCATTTCCACGAAGATTTTATTTTTTTCATATCGAAGGACCGTCGCACGAATTTGTCTGAAAAATTCAACAAAGGAAGGTAAAAATCATTGAAAATGTTTAAAACATTCATGGGTCTGTCTCCCGATGAAAGAAGAAAATGGCGGAAAAAATACCGAGTCAGTGCAATCGAGAGTGGTTTGTTCTTGCGGCACTGAAAAAAAGATATGGTAACCTCTACTATAACTCTACTCGAACTTTTACATAGTGATACTGTTTACTCTCTGGCAGGATCGCTATCAGTGGCGGTTGGGTGTCACAGAGCGCACAGGAGCGCTATAAGAAGTAGTAGTGGTGAACTATTTAGTAACCAGAATAACCAGAAATAACCAGAATTAGAGGAGTATTCACCAGAACTCTGCAGGGCCGGATTAAGGGGGTGGCCACATGGGCCGTGGCCCATAGCCCATGGCGGCAAATTTTGCAATTTTTTTAAATTTAGGTATAAAAGAAATCGGATTCAGAAAAAAAATTATCAATGAGAAAAAGGGACACAATTTCTCTTTCCTGAGAGTATAGTAATTCCTAATTTTGGTTGTTTTTCGGTAATACAAGAGACAGCATCTTTAATTAGTCGAGTTAAGAGAGGATGAGGAACTAAACACGCAATTTTGGCCTGGAGCTTAGCGCAGAGAGGAATGATGACGAGGACTTAAGATGAAAAAGACAAACCTTCGGCGCGGCGGTCGGCATGTAACACATATTAGCGCCTACAAGACTGCATGAATACTTCACTCATTGCGCCAAACACAGTGCGGTCAGGAGCAATTGGCGTGAAACGCATAGCGCCTACAAGACTGCAGAAATACTTCACGCATTGCGCCAAACACGGTGCGATCAGCGCGGCGCAGCGGCGAAAGTTAAATTATACAACATTTATGTTTGTTCTTTCATAATTTTTTGGTTCATTTCTTTTAAATGGAGAAGCAAAGTTCCGTGAAATTTTGCTAGTGGTGTTGATAAGGGCTTTCGCAAAAAATGTATTCAACACGAGTAGGTAAACGCGCGCGCCTTATGCACCCCTCTCCCTCCGGCACGTTCTTTTGATGGTTTTTATTGATGTTTCAAAACGAATGAGAAGGAGGCGGCAAAATACAGGCGGCCCATGGGCGGCAAGTAGGTAAATCCGGCCCTGGAACTCTGGTGAAAAAAAAAATCGTGCAACGTGGAAACGGGTGGTTGGAATCGACAAGGGAGTCGACAAACTAACGGCAACCCACGAAGGACCCTTTAGTTACTCCATCATTTGCCCCCTTGGTCTGTAACATCCACCTGTTTCAACCAATAGGATTGCTCCATTTTTCCTTTGCCCTCTTTGTATATAACTTTGTCTACCTATCCATTTCAATAATCAGCCTGCAGCTCTGCCGTGACAGCGAAGAGAGCCGTAAGTGCAAAAATGAAGTTTTGAGAAAACGCGGGCTCAGAAGCTTCTGACAAGAACATTTTATTGAAAGAAGCCTCCGTTCTTTGTCAAGTTGCCATTAATCGTCCGGAAGACTCCTATAGAAATCGTATGGATGATTAAAAATCGACTGATTTTATTTCCATTACATAAAAAGGGTATTTTTCATTTTCATGCTAGGTCATTGTTAGGCAAGACAGCCGTAAGTGCTATCTTCTGCATGCTTTCGTGGTTGCGTTTTGGACGCACAACAAACACATTTTCAGATTAGAAATTGGCAGAAGAGGGCGGCGCTTTACTGGAAAGCACTGTTTTCATTATGGCTCTCATGCATCTACGGCTGTCTTGAAAAAAAACTGCGTCATTTTTTGTGCACTTACGGCTTTTACATACGTCTCGTTTTCATTAAATTAGGATGAATTTTGCTGTTTTAGCTGTCTCAGTAATTTCATCTAAAGGAGTTTAGACGGATTTTGAAGAAAACTCGATTTCGAAGATTTTGCACTTACGGCTCTCTTCGCTATCACGCGCAGAGCTGAGACCGGAACTTACCGGGAAACTGGCCCTGTCTTTGCCGGTATTCATCTCGAACATCTTGGAGATAACGTGGAGACATTCCTCGTGGAGGGATTTCGTGAAGAGAAACCGGGGGCTCTCAGGCATCAGGGACAGGAGCACCGCGCTGAGAAGGCTCGGCACAGCCATGCACGCCACCAGCAGTCGCCACGAGTTGAACTCCCATTTGTCGATTTTGTAACTCATCTTGATCGGTAGGACTGTCATTGCAACCACTGCGAAAATAAATGAGGGATCAGACTGAATGTCAGGTAAATGTACCAAAAGTTCCAAGTGACATTTTCAACGGAAATGGAGATGTTGCATGTGTGAGGAATTTGCGATTTGACTAATGATTCTTATGTAAAAGTTCGCGAGAAACACGATGGTGCTACTGGTTTTTTTCTGAAATCAACTCCCAAGCTTAAAAAAAGCTCTCAAGTTGAGGCCAAAATGGAGGGGATATCCCACCCTATCCTGAGAGTCCACCTCTACATCAAGACAAACTATCCCTGCAAAGATAGGGAGCAAATACCTCGATAGGGCTGCCACTTTATTTGGGGACTCTAAAACTTAAAACACGACAGCCCTGCTAATGTATTTGCTCCCTATCTTTGCATGGAGAGTTTGTTTTGGTGTAGAGGTGGACTCTCAGGGTAGGGTGAGATATCCCCTCCATGTTGGCCTCACTTTGAGAGCTTTTTTTGAGCTTGGGAGTTCATTTTAGAGAAAACTAGTGGCACCATCGTGTTTCTCGCGAACTTGTATATAAGAATCAATGGTCAAATCGCAAATCCCTCACACATGCAACATCTCCATTGGCGATATTTTGACATTAAGTTGCGATTTTTCACGATAAAATCGCTGGGATCATCAACATCTGACTGATTTTCGCAACCTTGATCTTGTTGCAATTTTATCTCTATGAAATTGCGTTCGATAGAATCGAAATTATATCTCAATTCATCAAGGTTTTTTGTTCGATAATATTGCGATAAATGCGACAGAAATGCAATTTTCTCTTTACTTATTTCATAATACTAAGATTACAATAATAATATTATAATTACGCCAGAGCAAGCAGAGTAGTCACTACTCTGAACTCTTTACTGAAGAAACATCTTTAATCGTTCATATCGGGAGTATAAAAGCACGCGACGCTGGCCTCGTCTCAAAGACGCGATTCCGAGTATTGGAGATAGGCGTGAATGGTCGATTATCGATATTTCCCCATTTGAAGCTATGGAAAAGAATCGATTTTTAAGGTGTTCGTCGCAACACTCTCTTTATAGATCCTATTCTACAGGTTTAAATGGCAGATCAATCGATGTATCGCAAAGTATACGACGCGACGGCACAGATTCCGGGGCGTCGCGACGCCCGTCAGTTCGGACGCGCGGTCAGTTCTCGCAAATCTACCGTGCGAAAGAAAAAAGTTGCACGAGTATTCAGGCGTTGCAAAATTTATCATATTTAATTTAATAATAACAAGTATATGGGCGATCGTTAAGGGCCAATATCTGCCCTATTCTGGATTTCTGGAACTCCAGTTTTTCTCGACAGAAAGTCTACATACGTTAAGGAATCACCGGATTGTTTTTTAGTGAGGTATATCGCCATGATTACGAACATGAAGACCAAAGATGATCATTTCCGGGGTTTCCAAGGTTTTCCGAGTTTAATGCCGATTTTCGACCAGAGCGCTTGCTGGTATCCGGCCAAAAGTCGTCGCTTCCGAGAAGAAGGAACATATCTGCATTCGAATTTTGCCAAATTCTCTCCAAAAATTTCAGTTTTTTTGCAGAAAAATGACTAGGCTATTGTTGTAAAAAAGGCTGATTTACGATGGAAATCGGAGAAGAGAATTGTGAAATTTTCAACTCGAAGTGCCCAAAAATTGCCTGGTGAAGGTATAGTTTGAGAGCAGACATTTTGCAACATGGAAATGTAAATACGTTCTTTAGTGGGGGGAGGGGGCAACAATGTTGGTTACTTTTTTCTTACTTTAACGGAAAGACAATTAATTTAAAATAATTAAAATTGGATATTGCGTAGCGCCCTAAGGTTCAGTTACACGATCAAATTGAGCCATCAAACTGAAGCTCTGATTGGTGGAAAAAGACTTGAGGTGAGGATGCGACCAATGAGAGGCCCAATTTGATGGCTCAATTTGATCGTGTAACTGGACCTCTAGTGCGCAAGGGTTGGATGGAACGACTCTTCTTGCGAAATGCTCACCTACGCCGAAGTTTTGTTTTTGAAGCGGGGAGCTAAAAGGACATACATTTCTTACGCATATTGTGAAGTTACGAGAGCATTTTAGACCTCGGCAATGGGCTCATCATGATTTTTGGGACATTTTCCATTAGAAACAACTCTTATTGTAGCTCTAGCGAAAGTTTGCAACAGGTCCATTCCCATAGTTTTTCTGAAAAACGAATATTTTATCCATTGTTTGGCACTCTTCAAATACTCATTAGACGTTTTTCTGTAAAAAAAAGCTGTTGCGTCTTCAGGACGTGCCGCCTAATTGTTTGCAAAATTTCACGGCGAAATTTTCCGCGCAGCGTCTGCCCACACAGATGACACGTGATCGGTAGTCATACCGATGCAACGCGCACTTTTTTTATAAAACGTGAATGTCGGATGTTTTTGCGTGACGTCATGGTCTCATGGTGCATCCAAACGACGGACAAAAAGTCAACCTCGCTGATTTTCTTTGCCTCGTGTACATGACGCATCTGTGAGTTGATGACGGTCATACAAACGACGGTAATGTAGCATCGCGTCCATGATATTGGACTTCATGCCCAGTGCTCCCATTCCATGTTCGTCAAAAGTCCCGGGACTCGGAACTTTTTTCTTCCGATTTTTCCCACTCCGTGACCGTCAAAAGTTCCGGGATTCCTTTTAAATTTGTTCATGAGTTCCGAGAAAGTTCCGGAAAATTTTGGGAATTTCAAAAGTCCCGGGACTCGGAACTTTTTGTTCCGATTTTTCCCACTCCGTGACCGTCAAAAGTTCCGGGATTCCTTTTAAATTTGTTCATGAGTTCCGAGAAAGTTCCGGGAAATGAAAAAGATCCGGAAAATTTTGGGAATTTCAAAAGTCCCGGGACTCGGAACTTTTTGTTCCGATTTTTCCCACTCCGTGACCGTCAAAAGTTCCGGGATTCCTTTTAAATTTGTTCATGAGCTCCAAGAAAGTTCCGGGAAATGCAAAAGATCCGCAAAATTTTGGGAATTTCAAAAGTTCCGGGCAAAATTCAGGAAAATCTCAAAAGTTCCGGGACTCGGAACTAGTTCCGAGAAATGGAAACATAGCTCCATACTCTCCCTTATAATTCTCGACTGTCATCGCGTCCAAGATCTTGGACTCCATGCTCACTTTGACGAGGGATAGCTTTTTTGAAAAATCAAAACGAGCAAAGCGTCCAAAATCGTGATGAGCAGATATTTGCCGACATCAGACGAGCGAATAGTCCAAAAGTTCATTCATACACTTTTGATGAGGTAAATATGAAAAAAAATTGTTCTTGTAGAAATTGTGAATCCAATGAACAGGTACACCAAATACTCCAGGAGTGGCATGCAGATGTTTTGCCCATTAGCTAGTTCTAAAACTTGTGCACAAGTTTGTCAAATAATCCTGCACTGAAAAAAAATTCTCGGCGTTTTTGCCAAGGTCCGTTTGTACCTTTACCATCTCGCTTTTTTTACCAATTATTGGTAATTTTACCAAGACAGACTGGTAAGCTTACCTAAAAAGCGGTATTTTTACCATTTTTTTCAGGTAAGAATACCACTTTTATTGGTAATCAATTGCCGGTAATTTTGCCGTTTTATCTCGGTAATTATACCACATTCGATAAAAAATATTGGCGTTTTTACCAAGGTCTAGTAAAATTACCAAGAAAGTTCAAACATTTTACCGAGATTTCTCGGAAAAATTACCGATTCCATAAATGGTAATTTTACCAAGAAAAAACTGGGATCAAATAGAACCCTGGATTCTTGGTAATTTTACCCTTTTCTTAGTAAATACACCGAGATTTTTTTTTCAGTGCGGGATAGATAAAAAGAGCCGTTCTGCCGTGCTAAGGAAGAACGCCGTGTGATCCTTCAGACGTTGCCAAGTCATCTCCAATAAAAAGCGAAATTACTGGGAAAACTGTGAACATTATTTTCCAAAATTTTCAGACAATTTTGTACGCAATTTAATCTTAAATATCTGAAACTTTCAAGGAAAAATATGCATGATTGTTGTCAAAAATGCATGCTTTATCAAAGGAAATGTGGCAACTCTTAACTCTTGAATGTTCATATGGCGTTCTTCCTTAGCACGGCAGAGTCCCCGGAACACCCGATATTTTTTTTGCAGAATGTTCTAGGAGCCAGTACCTGTCGAAATCAGCTAAAGACAGGAATTAGAAACGTTTGAAAAGAAATTAGCGCCATCTGGATGAGATATTCGTGACTACTGTTGGATGCAAACGACGATAAGTTCGAAATGAGAGTAGATCTTTGAACCTGCTTGACATTCCAAGTCACGGGCAATTTTGCGGCACGCAGAATTTTAATGTCGCGCGGTATAATTTCTCCGCTTTGTTTCTACGGGTTTTGTTTGTTTTGGCGGCGCTTCCGGGCGTTTGTTTTTCCAGGCGCCTCCAAGCCCGTATTTCGCTTAATTTCGCACGACACCGTTACTTTGTGTGACGTTGCGAATTTTTCCGTCGCTCCTCCGAATCGATCGAACATCCAAGATGAGTATCAAGACAGCAGAAATTTTTATTGGCATATCAATGGCTACCGAAGTACCATTTTTCATCAGAAAAAAAAAAAAAAAAAAAAAAAAAAAAAAAATCAAATCGCTTTTTCTCAGTGCAGGCCTATAATTTGACTTTGATGTTCATTCTAAGTACCTATGTTTTGAAACAAGTAGATGAAATGAATTTAGGAAACAACAATAATTGCTAACCGTAAGTGCTTGTTGAAACATTTCAATCATAGGTAGGTACTCATTGTAGAAACCTCTAATCATCGACAGTCTGTAATGACCGAAACCACGAATTTGATCGGTCAGGCGGTGTTGCCATTTCTCGGAGCATTCGTCGGATTTTTCCTTATGTTCCTGCGTAAAATAGGCGGTTTTTTTTTGCAATCAGATCGACACCGCTCCCGGCGGTCGATTATGTGGAGTGTTATCAAACATTCTACAACTCAAACAAAGCGCTACTTGAGCGTTTACCTGGCAAAATCAACGTTGACAGAGTCATCGCCAGTGCGACGAAGCAAATCACTTTAGCTCGCTTCCTCTCGCTGTAAAATTCGCCTAAGTACGTGTAGATCAGAGACATGGGGCCACCAATTCTGGAAACAGGGGTTCGATTCAATTAATAAAGTCTTATAAAAAAATCTGGAAAATATTTTAAAACAACACTGAAGAAAAAATCTCGGTGATTTCACTAAGAAAAGGGTAAAATTACCAAGAATTCAGAGTTCTATTTGATCCCAGTTTTTCTTGGTAAAATTACCATTTATGGAATTGGTAATTTTACCTAGAATCCCGGTAAAATTATTGAACTCTCTCGGTAATTTCACTGGACCTTGGTAAAAACGCCAATATTTTTAATCGACTGTGGTAGAATTACCGAGATAAAATGGCAAAGTTACCGGGAATTGATTACCAATAAAAGTGGTATTCTTACCTGAAAAAACAGTAAAAATACCGGTTTTTAGGTAAGTTTACCAGTCTGTCTTGGTGAAATTACCAATTATTGGTAAAAAAAGTGAGATGGTAACGGTACCAACGGACCTTGAAAAACGCCGAGAATTTTTTTCGGTGTAGAGGTGGGGTATCGATTTAAGGCGGACTGTTTTTTGCCTTACCCTGAATTTCCTCAACTTTACGATTATTTGCTCATTGAACATCTATATTTTCGGAATGTCTCATGATTTGGTCACATTCGGTCTCTTCGCGGTGACCTAAACGTGCGGGTCTAGCTGGACGCCGATTTTGGGGGAAACTACGATTATTTTGGCATTTGACACCACACCAGTAAAAATATCATTTTTCACCAAAATTGGCCTACAGACTCAAGTTTAGTCCAGTATCAGGTCCGGAAAGATACTGAAAATGAGCAAATCATGATGCATTCCGTCAAAAGTAGACTATCAATAAGTGAAACATCGTAGAATTGAGGAGATTCCGTGTTGGCTCAATAACGGACCTCATCAATACCTTTCCTTTTAATAAATTCAAAAGTAAAACAAAATAATATGTTCCATTCAAACTCAATTTAACCGTTTAAAGTTCTAAATATGATTTTTAATTGCAACAGTGAAAAAAAAAAATTCCATTATTCAAAAAAGTATATTGCTAGCTCTCTTTTTTGGCTGAGGTCATTTAGACTCCAAAGCCTTTAGTTTTAAGTTAAAAAAGGAAATCAAATTGAATTGCGTTGTGCAAACACCCCCAAAGTCGATTCTTCGAATTTTTCGTGTTAATTATACTATTAAAATTCAATGTAATCATGGAATGAAGCGGTGCAAAGACTCGTTATGGGATCGCGATAACCCTGAGACGAGTATTCACACCAATTTTATGGTTGTAAATCACCTTTAAAAGTATTTAACCCCCCCCCCCCNNCCCCCAACTCAGTACTGGAAAAATGGACATTGGCGGCTATTCGACTATATATTCAATTTCGTTCATTAGCACAGGAATAATTTCCGTTTTGATCAATGGGAGTGTATCTATATATGCCGGAAGGAAGGGTGCACAATTTATTGCACAAACGAAATTAATCAAAAGGGTTATTTGCCACGGTGCACCGTCAAAACTTTATCAGTTTATATAAAAATTGGAGGAACTTATGTTAAAAGGAGCTATGTGTTGCACGCAAACTACATACACACAGAGTGGTACAGGGGTAAACGGCCTGTCTGCAGGAGCGTGTTCTATGGGTCAAAATAAGACTTTTTTGTTGTATTAAGTTTTTTCCAAAAGTGCCTTCGGTTGGAGCCACCCACGCCCCCCCTCCAAAAAAAAATCGGAAAGTAAATCGTTTTCCCTGAATTTTCACAACGGTTATGAACCAAATCTCATGAAAATTTGGACTCTCCTGTACTTTTATGCCCAGAATTCATAAATGATCTACAAAAAATCGAAATCTCAATTTAAAGAGGGTGTTTGGGGGTGTTCCGGCTCCTGCACTCTGGCCGTTTAACCCTGCATCATCCTGTATAGTTCCTTCTAGCACAAATCCATTCAAATATAAGCGTACTCACATGAAGCCACTGAGGAACCTGAGAACAATGAAGGTAGAAAAATTATGTGACAAACTAGACAACAGGAGAAGAACTCCATCAAGGAACATCCCAGGAACCAGAATCCTCTTCCGGCCAAAAGTGTCAGCTAACGCTCCCCAGAAGAAGCAACTTGAAATTGTACCTGTGAGGATTAAAAAGCAATATTCTAATGGCAGTGGTTTTTGAGTTTTCGCGAAATAATTTTTTAAGCTTGTTCGGGATTACTTCGCTAAATCCAACCCGAGGTCTTGTAACTTAACGTGATTGGATCTTGCAGAAAGAATACTATTTTTGGCTCAATTCAGGATCATTATACGTACAATGGACCACTAGATAAGGTACGAACTTCAGCATTCTGATACATGTTCCTTAACAAAAATTTTACGTAAAACACGATGCACACAGCGAAAATTACCGAAATTAACTCCTCACGAAGATATTTAATGATTCNGTCTGCAGGAGCGTGTTCTGTGGGTCAAAATAAGACTTTTTTGTTGTATTAAGTTTTTTCCAAAAGTGCCTTCGGTTGGAGCCACCCACGCCCCCCCTTCAAAAAAAAATCGGAAAGTAAATCGTTTTCCCTGAATTTTCACAACGGTTGTGAACCAAATCTCATGAAAATTTGGACTCTCCTGTACTTTTATGCCCAGAATTCATAAATGATCTACAAAAAATCGAAATCTCAATTTAAAGAGGGTGTTTGGAGGTGTATCGGCTCCTGCAGTCTGGCCGTTTAACCCTGAATCATCCTGTATAGCTCCTTTTAGCATAAATCCATTCAAATATAAGCGTACTCACATGAAGCCACTAAGGAACCTGAGAACAATGAAGGTAGAAAAATTATGTGACAAACTAGACAACAGGAGAAGAACTCCATCAAGGAACATCCCAGGAACCAGAATCCTCTTCCGGCCAAAAGTGTCAGCTAACGCTCCCCAGAAGAAGCAACTTGAAATTGTACCTGTGAGGATTAAAAAGCAATATTCTAATGGCAGTGGTTTTTGAGTTTTCGCGAAATAATTTTTTAAGCTTGTTCGGGATTACTTCGCTAAATCCAACCCGAGGTCTTGTAACTTAACGTGATTGGATCTTGCAGAAAGAATACTATTTTTGGCTCAATTCAGGATCATTATACGTACAATGGACCACTAGATAAGGTACGAACTTCAGCATTCTGATACATGTTCCTTAACAAAAATTTTACGTAAAACACGATGCACACAGCGAAAATTACCGAAATTAACTCCTCACGAAGATATTTAATGATTCTTAATGCGTGAATTCAAACCGGCCGCTCATGAAAACTCAATGCTCTACGTGATTCACATCGCGCGCTAAACGTTATCATGACAGTCTCTGCGATATAAAAATCTGGCAACCTCAATCTTGACGCTTTGGCTCAGTTGTAGCAAATTGCTAATAGTTTGAACAACACATGATGGGAAATGAACATTGCTCGATTGAGAAGCTTGCTGAAACCGTTGTAGTGGGCGATTTGACTCACGTAGAGTTTTGAGTTTCTTGTGAGCGGGCAGTTCAAATTCCTCGTAACCAATGTGAAATAAAAACGTTAATATCTTCGTTAGGAGTTGGTTTCCGTAATTTTCGTTGTGTGAATTGTTTTCTACGTGAAATTCTGGTTAAGAAACATGTATCAGATCGCTTAAATTCGTACCTTGTCTAGTGGTCCATTAGTTTCCCTATGCAGGTACGTGATTCTATCAGTGACGAGGCGTAAATGATCAATTTATCGACATTTCCTCATTTGAAGCTATGGTAAAGAATCGATTATTAACGTGTTAGTTGCGAACACCCTGTTTCTCGATCCTTTTCCATAGGTTTAAACAGCAGATCAATCGATAAATCGCAAAGCACGCCACGCTACTGGCCGAGGCAGAATTATAGTTCCCTATTGCGTAATTCACTCTAACCAGCTAAAAATAATCACGGTAAGATCTCTACATGCAAATTGGGAAAAGTGAATTCGCGCACCTTTGATTGTAAATATTTCGAATAAACACGCATGTGTGTTTAATTTTTTAACAGCAATGCTTTTTACTAATTTAATTCAATTTTTACCAATAGAATTGAAAGGCTCAGCGGACAAGGCGCATGAGTGCAGTTTTTGCCATTTCGAGAAATACGTGTTTGAAGTTCCGAAATTACATGTATCCTTATGGCGGAGAGAAAGTTCAAATTGACATTTTGATGCTTTATTGCGAATTGTTTACAGTATATTTATTAAGACTAGTTTTATTTAAAATCATCAATTTTTTTTAAAAAATAAAACTGTACCTTTGCAACCTGTCTTTCGAGCCTCTCGATTATAGTTCCTAAATGCGTGATTCACTCTAACTAATTTACCATAAGCACAGTAAGGTCTCTGAAGGTTTCAGGACATTTCGTCAAAGATTTTTTGTCCGCGCACCTGTTTTGTCCAGTAGTTAACGTCCACGCGTAAAATAAGCAACAGTGATTTGGTTCAAGCGTTATATATTAGTCCGTATGTAAAATTATGTTGACAATACCGAAATGAGAAAATTGAGAGAGAGGGAAGTGTTGTTATGGTAACTCATTTTTTGAATGAAATTTTACTTTCTTATTTTGATTCATCTTTTCAAATTGTCATTGGTAAATACTTGGTTTTATTTCTACCCTCAAAATTTTTAACACAGAATATACCTTTATATATCTTTATTCTCTCTCTTCTTCTTGATGAAAATATTACCTCATTTTAAACAAATTTAATTTTTTAAAATCTATGGCAAATATTTGTAAAACCTTTCCCAAGCGATGGCATCGATATTAATCTCAATTAGTCGTAGTTGTGTTGAAAGGAACTATATAAAAATGAATAAAACGGGGGAAACCAAGAGGCACGCAATCTTTGTTTTTAACTCATTTCTACATCGATCTTTTAGAGACAAATAAGCCCAATTTTGAGTGTTTGGTTGCGCGTGCACCACGCTGTAGCACAGTAAAAGCACAAAATATAAAAGAAAAAATTAACGTTCTTAAGAGATCTTAAAGTTTGATACGAAACTACCTTAATATTTATAAAACACACATTATATTTTCCTTGAATACATATTTTCCCCATCAATTTAAATGAGAATAATCCATGCAGAGTGTGCAAACATTTCAAAATCATGAATTGAGAAACGTTGACCCCGCGAGTTTAAATATTCGAGCCATACGTAGAGCGGAGTCGCACGCGCACTGGCTCCTACAAACCTAACATGGATACTTCACGCATTGCGCAATGCGTGAAGTATCCCTGTTAGGTTTGTAGGCGCGAAGGCGCGTGTCACGCTGATCGCCCTCACCCGCCATGGCGCGGCGCTTCAAGCAACTACTTCACAATCACAACAGAGGTGTTGCACAGTATCGCGTGGACGTAATCTACCAGAAGAGCAGGTGCGCAGACGAAAAATCGTTGACGAGATGTCCTATAACCGTCTCTGAAAGTTGGGGAAGATGACTTTGCACCCCTTCGAGTGTAAAGATTTTGAACAAACCCACAGGTGTTCAATTTTTTCACAGTGATGTTTTCTATTAATTTACTGTACACTGTTCTTTAAAAAGATTAAATGGACGGACCTGCTAAAAATACTGCATGTATGAGCCCGATTTTCTCCGAATTCATATCGAAAACGGCGCTTGCGGTGGGGGCGATGTAGCCCCCTAGATTCACGTCGAAGCCACATGACATCAGTGTGCAGCCGCATATGAATGTGATCAGGTGGTGAAAGCGGCCGACTCCTGAAACAGAAACAATCGCCACGATGAAGAGAAATCGGCGGATTGAAGGCGAATCTTCAGCAGTTTGTTAAGGTTAAGTTGAAGGTTGAGCCGGCCTGCAGCCTGATTGTTAAGGTGATTCGATGGACGCCATATTTTGTGTCAGAACGACGTGCGATATATCGCGTCGATTGGCTCAATTTTTTCAGCTACTCATCATTTTTCTCGAATTTTGAGGTAGCAATTTTGTCGTCAGGAGACTAAAGCACTCACTCACCAATTTTAACATGTAAATTCAACGTAATAAAGGTGTGGTTTTTTCAGAGAGAAAACATCGCATTCGATACTGATATCGAATCTACACTCGAATGCGATATTTTCTCTCTAAAAATTTCTATTGATATGTCTATAAATTTCAGCAAGGGGTCCGCAAGGGGTCACGCCGAGAGATCTACAATTCTTTGGGTCTTTTTAGACCTCATCAGTGGATCAAACTCCACCGCGTTTACCATCAATTCAGGCCACATTTTTAGTGTTTTTTTCTGGTCTTTTCGGAAGCCAGGTGTACATTGAAACGCGGTTGGTCGTCCTAACTTTTGGCTACTCCAAATTATAGGGTAATCCAAATACCGCACCGGCTACACTTTTGCCGTGCTAAGGAAGAACGCCGTATGAGCCTTCAGACGTTGCCAAATTTCCTTCGATAAAAACCAAATTTGCAGGGAAAATTGTGAATATTCTTTCTCAAATTGTTCAAACAATTTCGTACGCAATTTAACCTAAAATATCCCGAAATTCCAAAGAAAACTGTGCACGAATGTCGTCAAGAATCCGTGTTTCAAGGAAATTTGGAAATTTGTCCGTGTCAAAGGAAATTTGGCGACTATCGAATGTTCATACGGCGTTTTTCCGTAACACGGTAGATTTGGCCATGCGCGTAACGTGAATCTGAGGTGTCCTTGACCCCCGCTTCTTTTGTCAACCTGACCGTGTCCCTTGTCCGCACAACGGAAGCTCCGAGGCCTGTCTCTAGTGTCTGTCTGTCACCAGTACAGGGAACAGTGGCGTGGCGTGCTTTGCGATATATCGATTGATCTGGCATTTAAACCTATGGAAAAGGATCGATAGACAGGGTGTTCGCAACGAACACCTTAATAATCGATTCTTTATCATAGCTTCAAATGGGGAAATATCGAAAATCGATAATCGATAATCGATCATTCACACCTCGTCACTGTTAGGGAAAGAGTATGAATCATACCTCCGTGCTAAGGAAAAACAACATTTACACGATCGAATGTTGCCAAATCTACTGTAATATAATACTAGTTCTCTGGGAAACTAGAAAAAACAGTAAAAAACGGTTAGAAAATGTATGTAACAAGGTGGAGAAATGGTGTTGGGTCCACACCATTTCGCGGGGAAAACAAAGCCGAGAAGTTTCCGAAAATTACAATTAGAGTCAAAAATTTTTTTACTCTAATGAGTACCAGTACAAAACTGAGGAAAACTTCTCTTGGAAACTTTTTAATAATATTTCACTCGATTTTTCGAGAATTTTATCCTCAATTTGATCAATAATTTCTGGACTTCTGGAGTTGCCGAGGAAAATATTCAAAACATTCCCTCGATGATAAATATCTTTATAGGAGAAATTTGGCAACATTCGAATGTTCATACGGCGTTTTTTCTTAGCACAGAACCATGACCCTCAGTGTCATTACATTTCGGATCACATTCCTTCCGAAATGTTTCAAGGTGGATCGTCAATTTTTGTAGACCATTGAATTTTCTGTCGGAACAGAGCTGTGTCTGGTCTTCCCTATGGTAATAACGACCTTTAAAAACGTATTTTTGAAAACTCTTAAAAATATATTTCAGGTAACCCCATAGGCGTAGGCAGATCAATTTTGTGGGGCTGACCTGCTCCTCGCTTTTTCTCGGTCTCCCTGATTCGAAGAGGGTTTCGGAAGGGCGCACTGTGGTCCAAAACTCAAGAATAGGAAGAAATAAGTCGGATAATAACTAAAAGATCACAAAAGTTTCGTAACTGATGTTTTTTGAGTCGCTAATTTCGAATTTGATGTCTAATTGCCTACATTTTAACACCCTGACTTATTAAATATGGGCAAGTTTGTGGCACGCTGCGGCGCGGCGTGCTGCCAGCTCGAAACGCGTACTAACGCCTACAAACCCAAGGGGATACTTCAAGCATTGCGCAATGCGTGAAGTATCCCCTTAGGTTTGTAGGCGTCAGTGCGCGTCTTGCGCTGGCAGCACGCCGCGTGGAAAATTCTAGAAAATTGACCTCTGTAAGATGCGTTTTGAAGCTCCTCTCTCACAAACTACCATGAATTTTTCAAGAGTTTCTCGAATATACCTTCTCATCCACATTTCACCTCTTTTATGGATGTTACTAAAAGAAATACCCCAAAAGAGTTTCCTGAAATGTAAATAACTGTTTTTTTAAAAGAATGTATGCGTTTTTTTAAAGGTTTTGTTTTTTTTGTAAATAGTCATTGCGACTGAGATTTGGTCGTACCCGCAGTCTGTAGGATATTTTCAAAAACTTGAGGACGTACCCACTTTAAAGAACCACCTCACTCTTTACTTTACTCTAAATGTTTATTCCTTTGGATTCAACTTCTCTGAGTTCGATGGATGTAACTATCCAGCGCATTAATTATAGAGAATTGTTGCTTCCTTTAGAGCCATAATTTCAACAATTTTTCCTCCACTTTTTTGTATACGTCTCATCGATTCCGATTGACAGGGCCAGAACGCTATAAAGTTCCTATAGAGAGCATGGTCCTTTAATGAATAAAAAACACAAATTATTATTTTTACCTGCTAACTCGATGGCGGTGTCGTACTCCAAGCTACCAAAATCATCGACTCCATCTTTTCCTGAAAAAAAAGGAAAACGAGACCGTCATTTTAAAAACATTTATAGTCTATTTAATGACAAAAAAGGGAGAAAATATTTTAGGGAATTTTCTGCGTCAAAAAACGTCTTATTAGATTTGAAATTTTAGAAATTTTCCGGGGAAGGCCCCCCGACCTCTTTATAGGGACTGGGGAGTGTCGGATGCCCCTCAGACTCCCTTTTATTTGGGGACCATTTAGCCTGATGATTTAACCAATTCGACCGACAAATTATTAAAAAACCAGTGTCGATTCGATTAATTCACGGGATTTTTTATCGATTCATGGATATTGTCGATCGACTCTCGGGTTTGTCGATAATTCACGGCTGTCGATTGAATCACGTCGATCGATTCATGTCGATCGAATCGACACCGTTTTTTCAATGATTTTTCGATCGATTCACATCGATCGAATTATGTTTTTAATGTTTTATCAAATTTGATCCACACTCTACGCTTTGAAAGAGTTCATTGATCAAATTAACTTCAATTTGCAATTAGGAACCACAATTTCTGGCATCGTTTAGGAACAACGTATGTACGTAGTTTCCTAATGTACACAGGTGTTTTTACAGATGAGCCAGAAATTATTGTACCGATTAGCAAAATGATCACGCCATTACATCGCTGAGCAGGAGCACCCATCAGGGAGCCTACACGTAAAAGTCGTCTCACTTGTATGCTTCTATTTAGAATTATTTATAAAAATGTGTAAATACATAGAAGAAATTAAGTTGGATTTTATGTAATGTTTTATCATTTGAAATGAAATTACTTCCACCAAACTGTACAAAAACTTCAAAATAATAAATTTAAAACTGCTGACGCCACAAGTTAGAATAATCGTGTCAAACACAGTACGGCACTGCGGCTGGCGCGCATGGCGCAGCGCAAACGCATGGTAGCGCCTTACAAGACCGCAGGATACTTCATGCATTGCGCGTACACCACGGTGCTCGCTCAAGTCGTTAAGAAGTCTTTCTTTCTTGGTGTCGAACCCAACACGGTATCCACCATTTCCGAACAGCGAGAGCTTGCAATCCAAGGATCCCAGGATTGTGGAGATTTTTCAATCTTATATGTATTCCGGTGAAAGTATAATTTACCAGCGAGCATTTTTTCAAGTTGGAATGCTGTTACTTTCTATCGTCCGGAAAAGGTCAAACCTAACTAACTTTCAGAGAAAGAAAGTGGAATTATTTTTTTCACAAATGAAGCAAAATTTCCAGAGAGATATATTCTTGGTATCGCATTCACACAAAAATGAACTCCGGCAATCCGATTTTGGCAACTTTGGCAATTTTTGCAAAATGACCTAGGTACGCCTATGGCTAATATTAATCAATAGGGGGGGGGGGGGGAGTCCACCGCGGCACTGGGATGGATATTGACGATTTCTCGGGCCGCTTTTAGGAGCTAGCCCACCACTGGCTATTGCTTTCTGCTGCTATTCTCTAAAACTAACATTTCAATTTTCTTGGAAAAATCTTAGAGAATGCGATGTTCTCACTAAATTTTTGTAAAAAGTGATAGTTCAAAAATTGTATTTAGACCCACTTCATTCCTTCCCCTCTTTTATAAAATTTTATTCAAACTCAGCGCGTTTTTAACGTCCACATTTTGAATGTAACTATTTGCATGCATAAGTTCGTTCTTTTGGATTTGGGAGTCCTCTTCTTTTCTTATTTGCAAGTACTAAGTACTTGTGTTGTTTTCTTCCGGGATAAAGGAAGAGTATTGTCTTATTATTTGCACCGAATTATGGATTATTGTCGCATTATTCGCACCGAATTATGGATTATTGTTGCAGTTCGTTGCTGGCTGAGGATGGAACCATAGCTTCGAAACGCGTCCCAATAAAATAAATTCTAGTGCAAGTGAGTACGCAAAATGTTTTACTTTATTCTATGAAGATCATTGTCCCCTCGCTTCATTGCGGTTCATTATTTGCCGATTGTGCTTTTATTTTGACAGCAAATTGACGCGACTTTCGATACAAATGAAGCCCATGTACGGTAAATATGCGACAAATTAAGTAGTGTATTACATTTCGCACCTTGTGTCGTTCCTCACGCTAAATGATTTACAACATTGCCGCATTGCACACAAAAATTGCTTGTTTTTGGATAAGCTGTTTTGTGAAAACTGAAAGGAGGCGTGTGAAGGTTAATATAATTATTGCTTTCATCGGCAAATATATATAAAGAATAATTTGATCTTATTCATCTATTACATAGACGTTTTTAAATGAAAAAGAAGTATCTGCATTGTGAATTAAGCCCTATCATGCATATATTTTTATGCATCTCAGAGCTCATGTAACATTTAACGATGGAGATAGTTCCTTTTCATTTAAATACGTCCTTATAATTTGTCGGAGAAATCTTTATTTGATAGTTTTAAGCGCTTGGCCGATATGAGCGCTTTTTTATTTCAACCTGACTCTAGAATCTTTGGGGAAAAAAACATAAGAATTTATACAAATTTCATGACACTTGACCTTAAGACCACGGTGTTGCGATAACGTTGTTACTAGGAGGTGCTTTAATTATTTCTTCCCTTGAACTACAATTTGATTTAAGATTGAAAAATATAACCAGTCAAAATGCAATTTGACGAAAATTATGTTTGGCAACACTTCCGCCCTCTCATTTCCGGGGGTCGATTTGCACCTGACAATATTTCGGAAATACTTTTTTCCCTTTGTCATTGTTTCTGCCGAGCTCCCCAGATGTCACTTTAGGCACGTTTGTAAAATGAACTGGCGTGTATCTCAAGGTAAATAGTTAAAATTAAATCCTGTGTATTTTCTTCATCTCTTGTCATATTTTATTACTTCCGACAAAAGTCTAAACAGTTTGGAACCTTTACATTTTGCGGGAATTTTTTAACTTATACAAAATACACTCTCAATTAAAACAACGATTCAGAATGCTACCTACTTTTTTGTAAAACTATAAAGCATGCGAGGAACTTCAGCATGCAGTCATGATGTAGTTAGGCTCATTCCAGATGAGTTTGTCCAAATATTCATGGCTAAGCTGTAAAACCACGCATTTCCGTTTGCGGCGTTACAGATTTCTAATCATACTTTATTTTTTCTTCAGAAAACTATTAATTTGGTTCCCTGAATTCTTTCTTGATTTTTCCTCTCTATTAGGAGGATAATCCACAGAAATTTTAAGCTATATTGTTAACTTGCTTCTTCTCGAAAAAATTAAGTAGGGGCAGAGATTTTGTAGATCCGCGATCGAGATGTGTGCGGTTTTGCACTTTAGCCATCGATCTGTTCTAAGTTCTACACCGATTTCAAATGGTGCTGAAAGTAACAATCTTCCTCGTAACGAAATCCCTCATTTTTCAAAAAAGGGTCGAATGATTTCGACATAGCTAAACCAAATTGGTGTTGCGCAGGCAGCCATATAATAAGTTGAAGCATAACTCCAATAAGTTTGGTGCACAACTGCACAATATCGATTTTCGTTAGCTGTGTCGAAATAATCCCTTTTTTCAGTGTCGCATTATTTAATTTCGGTCTGCCTGAAAAACTTTTTTCTTGATTCTCCGTTACTTTGGTGCTACGTCTCATCAGAGGTCTTCCCTCCCGGAAATTTCCTCTCCTTTGAGAGGCGGCACTTATCCTCACCTGGAGTCCCTTAAAGCTACGGAACCTTAGGCGCGTCTGGACGCGGCGTCCTGGACACCGGCGGAAAATGCTGCTACCGAGTCGAGGGCGAGAAGACGCTCACATTTTAGAGCACGGCACCTTAGGAGCGGAATCCGTGGATTTTTTCCGCTCTGTCCGCCGTCAATTTCTCGAATTTTCGTTGATCGGACAGTATGCTCTGGGCCGCGAAAATGGCTGTACGCGCTTTTTTTTAGGAGGGTGTGGATTCGATCGACAAAAATCGACCGAAAAATAAAAACGTGAGTCGATCGACACCAATCGATGGACAAATTACTAAAAAACGGGTGTCGATTCGATCGACAAAAAATGTGGATCGATAGACGAGAAATGATTGACAATTAAAAGGAAAACCGGTATCTAGTCAATCGACATGAATCGATCGAAAAACCAAAACGTGAACCAATCGACGTAATTCGATCGATTCACAACTTGGTCGATCGATTCACGGGTTTGTCGATCAACTCACATGTTTGTCGATCGACTCATAGGTTTGTCGATCGATTCGCAGGTTTGTCGATCGACTCATAGGTTTGTCGATCGATTCACAGGTTTGTCGATAGACTCACAGGTTTGTCGATCTATCCACGGCTTTTGTCGATTGATTCACGGGTGGGTCGGTCGATCCACGGCTCTTGTCGATCGATTCACGGAATTTTCGATCGATTCGCGGCTTTTGTCGATCAATTCACGGCCTTTGTGATCGATTCGTGGGTTTGTCGAGCTAAACACATTCAAAAATCTAGCGTCTCTATAAAAATCTAGCGATCGGAGCGTCTACGCTCCGATCTGTTCGCGACAGATCGGAGCGTCCTCGATCGGCGTTTTCCGCAGCGTCTCTTCGCCGCTAAGGTGCCGTCCCCGCGCAAAAATCATTAGACAGATTTATCGGCGTCTGGACGCCGCGTCCAGACGCGCCTAAGGTTCCGTACCTTAATAGTGAGAGTAAAGGCAATATGAATCCATTTCCTATAGGTTCCCGTATTTTAGGCCTCTACGGTGTCCCAAGCGGGAATAAAGATTACATTTTCACAGATTGCAAAGATTATAAACTGGATGGACCGGGGACTGGGGGGCACGGCAAGGAACAAACGGAATGAAAGAGGGAACGGAGACAGGAATTCGGGAATGCGATGATCAAAGATTATGAGCAACTTTCAATTTGTGTAATCTTTATTCCCATTTGTGACATCCATGAGCCACGTTGTCTTAACTCTCTCTATATAAAAGGACTCTACCCTCACCCGAATTCCTTAGACGAGAAGGTTATGTTTTGCTTCCTACATCTGTCTCAAGTAATTAACGCCGAACCTATTACGTCAAACGACAATGTTGACATCGATGACAGCTCCTTCCGAACAAAAAAGTTGGGCCCGCTGTTTCTTCGGATGAAAAGAGTTAATTTTTTTTTCACCTTCAGCTCCCCTTGTTTGGGTCCAATTTTCAGTAAACAGACAAGAATCCGCGGCTGGAGTGGAAAATTTCCGAATTTCAACGAGTCCGCACGCACAAATTTTAATTAAATTTCCCACGCATCGCATCGTTTTGCCGCGCGAGGCGCCTGGCGCCGCAATTCAAAACAACGATTTGATATTTTCGTCACGCTCGCTTGCGAACCGGTGGGGTCCTGTTTACTCGCGATTTTTCTTCGACTCCGCTTTTGTTCCGATTTTGGGATGCGCCCGCTAGAGGTTAACGGAGTCTTTCCACGGTTTCAGTGCACCACTAAAATTCCTACGTCGCACACTGGACTGTGTCAATAGGAGAATTCGGACAAAATCTGGAAACTTTGAAAGCTTATATTTTTGAAAATATGAAACAAAAAAATTCAAGAGTGGTTTTATTGGGTTTTTCGTGAAATTTCCTGTTAGAGACACACCTTGACAGTAAATTTCACGAGGAAACCAATGAAATAAGCACTTTCAGAACTTAAAAATGTTGAATATAAACGGAGTTATAAGCATTTAAAGTTTCCAAATTTTGTCCGATCTCTCCTATTGACACGATCCACTGTGCGTCGTAATTAAGGCGCTTATCAAAGTGCTCCTTGAGCGCGAGCGATAACTATTCGTCCTCTGCAGTCATGGGGTTGCATGTTTAAGTAATTGAAGGCGAATTCTGCTTCCACGTCAAACAATAAAATCCCAGCAGATTTGAAATGACCATTCCGGCCTCGAGTTAGTTTTTTGCGCCTCAATGTATCTCTCCAGTATCTCAGATAACTCTCAATAGTCCAGTGAGTAGAATCAAATAAGTTTTGCTCTACCATGTCTCCCGACTTTTTAGCCCTTCAAAATGGAAAAATCTGACCTTTTTTTTTTTTTTAAATTTGTTCAAAATTTTACGCTTAATCAGGTCCCAACATCGCTTAGGGCAGTTTTTGCCATTTAATATCAGAATTTTGGCCCTAAACAGCTGAAATGTCCTGTACCGTAGCCTGTCTGCGACTCAAGTGCGCAACTTTAACGCTTCATAACCATCATCTTGCATCTAAATACTTCCACTTCTGCTGTAAATTCACACTTAACTTGTACCTAACTTATTATTTTCAGTTATATTCATCCAAATAAATGAAAATATTGACCGTCTTTGCGTCAAACAGCCTTGTCTGCGGAATTCGCGTCCTGTACCGTAGCCCCCTTTTTTCAGCATCATTTCGTCCGTTAGAGTGCAGCACTTATGAACTTTGTTTACTTTTTTTGTGTTATCGTGACTATCACACGCTGATGTCGAGCAAAGGAAAAAAAAACCGCAATGAAACAGTAAATTTTGACCGTTTTTTATGAGTTTCTAGGTTTAACGACCATCTAGGATGTCCTTACCGTATACCTACCTTTTTAATGCATAAATCACTTCAAACTCTCGAATTTTGGTATTTTTTGATACGCTCTGATATCTTAACCTCAAATCCAGAATTTCAACCACATGCGTGAATATGCCCGAGCACCATTGCCAATAATCACACGATTTGTCCGCACCGTAGCCGTCCGTACCGTAGCCCGTAGCCGTCCGGTACCGAAGCCCGTAGCTGACGCGCGATGCGGCCGGGTCTACGGTAAGTACGGACAAAATGCGAAAGTCATCCAAAAATCGGTGCGCTGTTTGATAGATCATCCCACTTTACTTTATTTTATCTATCACCAAAATTTGGAATTTAAAAAAAAAGAGAAACGTATTTTTTTTAGTACGACGCGACTCAGAAGAAGAAGGCTTTTTTTCGATGATTGCATAAGGATCGCCATCTTTTTATTTTTTTCATTTTTTCTTTTAGATCTTTGAGTCCTCTTTTTCGTCTGAAGTTCATAGCAATTTATTCGTTTAATATTTATTCGTTAATATCTAACTTATTTTTTTCTTATCGTCCTTTAAATATTTATTTAAGGTGATTTGTGACCACATTTTCGATAAATTTACCTTTTTGTTTTCTTTCTTATTTTGTAAAAGTGCACCTAAAACGTTCTAACGTTGTCAAGCTTGTTTTAAGAACTCAGCTTCTAAGATTTGTCCCTAATTATTTAATGCGTTTACTTTAAAATAAAAGCAGTTCATTATTTTTGAAAAACTGATTTACTTAGTCTTTTTACCTTTATTGCCTGTAATTATTTATAAAAGTGGCACTTATAAGCTATGCTATAACTTAGCAGTTTATTCCCCAATGAATTTCAGTTCTTTATAATTCGGCCCTTGCATACAGTAATATTTACGAATGCCTCTTCGTCCTTACCGTAGCCCGTTTGTCCGTACCGAAACGTTATTGTCCTGTACCGTAGACCAGTAAAAAATTGTACAATTTGTAGCTTTAAAAAGAGCAAACCTGTAGAAATTCTTTAAAAAAGTTGTCTACCACATCTTCTAAGTTAGTTCTAAACAAATTAATTAAAATTAAGCGTTTCATTACATTTCCTGGCTTTTTTAGAGAAAAATGATGGCACAAAATTCTAGAAATCGGACTTTAGAGCAATTTGGGGGCTAAATTTTGAAAATAAAAACTTTGAAGGATATTTTGTTTTATTCTTCTACAAGAATATAGCTCTATGAGTACAAAAAAACTTAAAACGGTTTTATTATCGCACGTATTGATAGGAAAACAAGCCTGTTTAGTTGGTCTACGGTACGGACAAAAAATTTAACTTCCAGTGATAAAAGAGGCCAAAAAAAAAATTCTGTTGAAAACGAAGATTGACCACTATTAAAATCGACTTTCCAAGAGTATGAGGACTTCAGAAAACATGCTGAAGTTTTAAAATAACTAAAGTCACTTTTTTAAAAAACGATGGCTCCAAGAGCAAAACTTATTTGATTCTACTCCAGTATCTCAGATAACTCTCTCTCAATGATCCAGTATATTAAATAATTTAGAGAGTGGTGTCGATCCAGGATGTAAGATCGCATTTTATCCCAACAATTTGTATTTTATTTATTAATTTAATTTTTCTTTTAATATACATATGTTTGATCCAGGAAACGCAGTCGGTACTGAACACCTACCAATCTGGCGTAATGCATAAAGTAAATTGGTGCATTACACTTATACCATGGTTGATGATGTAGGGTTAGTCGGTGTGTAACACCAACACGTTGATGTAAAACGCCAATTTGGTAAGTGCACAACATCAATTTGGCGGACATAACCACAGTCAGCTCAACTGCTTTTCACATTGCCTAATTTTCGATCATGTTTTTTTTTTTTTTTTTTTTTTTTTTTTTTTTTTTTAATAGAGAGCTAAATTGCGTCGTGTTTCCAAACCTCTCCAAAAACTTCAAGTCTTAGTATTGCTCGGTTTAAAAAGTACAACACCTGAGAAAATTAGGCAATATCCAATGTAATACGTTGATTCTGGTTAGACCCGTCCAATAAGGGTTAGTCGTGGTAGATCTCACATTTTTCTCACAGTGTTTTTCTTGCCAACATTTTGGCAAACACTTCTCTAAGTAGCATCAATACTTCACTTTTGAGTTTTCGGCAGTAAGGCCCCTTTTCTTGTAGGTCACATACTGAAAAATCATAATCATCGCGCTGATAGCGATTCGTTCGCAATAATTCACGTGACGTTTCACCGTAAAACTCACCTTTCACTTTTTCTTTCACCTCGATTCTATCACCTTTCACCTCCCAGGTGTACTTTTGATGGCAGCAAAAGCACTTGATATAATTCAATACCATCGTTTTTTAGGTTCAGAGGCCAAACGGTCTGTAACATGTCAGAGAATATGTAATTACAGCGTCAGCTCAAAATTCCATCACATTTTGGCTTAAAAATTTTGTCGTTAAAGGCTTAAGGTGAGCAGTGGCATGGTCAGAAAATTATGGGTGGGGGGAGGGGGCCCTTTGTCAAAAATTGCTTATGGGGAGCCACAGGTAAACATTTCCCAGACTTCATGCAAAATGACTTTTTCGGGGAAAATTTTTCAGTCATAGGGGACTGAGGGGGGGATTCAGACCCTCTGGCCTCCCCCAGCCTCGATGACGCCACTGAAAGTAAAAAATTTCAATTGTGAAGATTAGACTCCGTTTTCTTTTGGAAAATAATTGCCGATTTAAATAAAAATGTCAAGTGTTCTTCGGAGGAAATCTGTTCTTGGATTTTGAGACAATTTTTGTGGAGGGCAATCATTCAACCAGCATGAGGTTTCGTACACAGCAAAGAGTAAATTGCTGCAATTAACTTCTAATATTTGAGACAGGCACGTTGTCACGAGGCATTTAAAAGGCAATAACAAAACGATCTCTTGAAAATAGCAAAACAAAATCAAAAAATCCCAAATGTTCAAAGTTTACCAGATAGTTTTATAGCGTATTTTTGCTATCGCACGTATTCATCCTTGTCTTTATTTAATTGGTGTCGTAGTTTATTTCGCTATAGCATCGAAAAAGTAATCGATATCGAAAATTGCCAAATTGATGTCAGTTTCCTCTTGTTTACGTGATAATTCGCCTGCTACAAAATGAATGATGCGAGTGTATGAAGGGTTTTCAAAAAGATGTAGACTTCAGATTATATTCGATAAAATCACCTTGATAAGCAAAGCATTGACGTTTCCAGATATGAGCTGCCATAATCTAATCAGTTTAATATTTGATTTACGTCTGGGAGAGAGAATACGAAAGCAGACATGTGCATGGCATCTGCCAATATGACATTCTTCTGAGCGAATATTACCGAAGTCTTGTTTACGAGAACTCATTTAAATCAAGAGGACCTATATATATGAGCCCTAGGATCCATAACAATTCGTGCATGATAAGGTTTATGTTGTCACGGATATAGACCCTTTTGATTTAAATATGTCCGCGTGTGCTTTAACCGATTTCAGTTTAATGTTCTTTCAGCACTTTCTTCACGTGCAAGAATAATGATCGAAGCTATTTTTCTAGAATCGAATGCTCCTTGTAAGGTTAGTCACTTTGGAGGGAATTGAAGACAATTTTTATATGATGCCAAGAAAATGGCCTCCTTAATCAAAATTCAATCTATGAAAAAAACACTAATACTTCTATATTACACATCATTCCAATAGTTTTAATTTTTATGAACCCAGATATAATAGTTATTTAGATCTAACTAGTTTATAAAAATATTAATATACAGGGCCATATTTGAACCTATTATTTTCCAAATCACGTAAGCGCTAAAATTGGGAATGCGAGAAAAACAAGAACACCCGTTTTATTAGCTTTGTTGACGATCTTCGAATTCCAAAAAATGTACGTCCTTTTAGAGGGCTACTTTGAAATCAGACATGATTCGATTATACTAGAGAAAACAAAGAATAAACAACCCCTTTACCACCAAAATAGAGATATCGTTTACTTGATTTGGAAAATAATCGGTTCATAAGGAGCAACATTGAATATACGGCCCTTGACCTCTCTCCTTTCAGTGCGTTACGATAAACTTGAGCGGCCTAACACAGTCACTCGGACGATGACGTCTCATTGCAAAATGAAAACATGAGCGAATGTTTATGTTTACAAAAACTTTTTCTTTCCGCTGGTCGCCGTAGACCACGCACGACTCGTTGTCCTCCTGACATAAGGGCGTAACTACACTTCTCGATGAACCTCATCGTCCGTAGAGCTAAATGCTTTCCCTGGCTCATCTCTGTGCAGTTATATGTCCTTTTGTCAGCCAATCGACGAACTGCATTGACAATGAATCAGAGGCATGCACCAGTGCAATCTACGATTCCAATGCGAGAAGATGCGTCAGTTTTTATCACCTGAGAATGTTTACTCGACGGGGCCACTTGGCTCTGGTCGTAAAAGCTCCCGAAATGATGCTAACTTGTTACTATCGGCAGTCATGAATGACACGTTTTAAGGGAGGAGATGCATCCAGTGGTTGTTACTGTGCTAAGGAAGGACGCCATATTGTTTTTCCCCGCACGACGGAACGTAACTCCATTCTAGGGCTGCCAAATGGACGTATTTCTGTCAAACGGAACTAAGCGCCATAGGGGGAGGAAGGTAGAGGGACTGCTGAGTTCGTATTTTTCATGAAAAATAAAATTTTGAAATTTCAGCTGAAATTTCAAGCTTTTTTTGAAAAATTGATTTTTGATACTATAATCGGTAAACCTGTACCCTTTCACTAGTGCAAAGTGCTTCCTAGGCAAATTAATCACAGAACCATACTAATAAATACTTATAAGTTTCATCTAAATGCGAAAAAACGAAGAAACAACTAAGAATAAAGGAGAGGGTGAACTCCCAGACTTGCCAGACTCGAGACTGAAGCATAGAATGAAGAGACTATTTAATCTATGAGTGAGGAATCCATGAATGAATGACTACTGTGTTCCATTGTGACACCTATCTCTTTTCTCTAGTGTTGATTAAGGAAAGCTTACTCGTCCTATTCTATTCTATCAAAGCAAAGCACCTGATTGGCTCATTTAAATTTTGCCGCTCTCAAGAAGAATTAGAATTTGAATGAGTCGATCAGGGTTTGATTTGCTTTATTTAAGTAAGTGTAAAAACTTAGACTGAACTGAGAGATTTTATTCACATTTTAATGAATGAGAAAGGTGAGAGGACTTTTTCAAAAATTGAAAATAAATTATTACAAATGAAACTGTTTTTTTGCTGCAATATTCAAGTCAGATTTATTTTTTTCATCAAATGCCATGTCGACGGTGAAACTACCAAACCACGTATCTCGTTTGCGGTGTTTAAAAATCTACGCTCACATTTTATTTTTTTGAAGTAGACCACATTAATATCATTCCTTGAAATTTTCACGGAATTTTCTCCGCACAAAGAGGAAAAATCACAGAAATTTTCAAGACTGGATGTTAAGTAGTTTTTCATTTAAAAAATAAAGTATGACAGGAAGTCTGCGACGTCGCAAACCGAGATACGTGGTTTGGTAGTTTCACCGTCGATGTGCTTCCCGATTTTTGGCTGAGTTTTTTTGTCGTAAATCAAAAATGCTACTCTGCATTTTTATCCGTGTCTGTGATTGCAAATGTTTTTCATTAATGTTTTGTGAATAATATATTTTTCATCTTAGGTAACATACGGAAGTTCTTTAGGCTGTTCTGAATTCTTTGTATTTTATCTTTGTATTTTCCCATGAAGGAAACAATACAATAACACAATTAAATTATGAAAAAATATCACAGTATTCACAGATCACAGCACAGCTACAAAACAAACAGCACGGTTTTGTTAATTTTTGAGGTTATGTTTGGAACCGGTAGTGCATGGTGAGGTGAGGGGAGCGGAAGTGGCGCAAGGATTATGGCGGAGCAACCTAACTAACACCAAAATACACTTCACACGACTTAATATTCATCCAAATTTCCCCACAGAGGTTCAACTTACACTAATTCATGTGCTAAGTCTTATTTGTGTATTTTTGGTATCAAATATTCAATTTTTCAAAAAAATTGAAAAATAAAAGGCCTTTTGAAATTTCAGTGAAATTTCACGTGAAATTTCAGTGAAAAATACGCTTGAAATTTCAAGAGCGAACTCAGAGAGGGAGGCTTTGATTGGCGGCGAAACCGGGCGTCGGGCTCATTCCGTCCTATACTCGCAATGCTTTTCCATGCCGCTTAATTCCATTTGACAGAACGCGCTACCCGGCATTCTAAATTCCTCCAAAGGAACTCAAATTGGCGCTTAGTTCCGTTTGACAGAAATACGTCCAAATTGACTCAAACAAATCCATTTTTGACAATTTTTGACCTGTGCAATTTTTGTCCAAATTTGGATTCTTGTACAGATCTGAAGAAGAAAAAACCAATCCCTTACTTTAAAAGAGGCAGAAAGGTTACGCTGAGTCCGCTTAAATGTTAAGTTCCTCTTTAATATAAAACGTGCCATTAGTTTGCCGCGCAGATTTAGAGGGCTAAAGTGCGAAACCGCGTAACTCCTTTATTACATTTCAAATCTCCATTTCTAGTCTATTAATTCGGAGAGGAACAAGTCAACTTAATGCTTTGAAATTTATACAGGATATGCTACCGACTGAAGAAAATTATCAAATATTGACTAGTTTTTCAAGGAAAAAATAAAGTATGACTGGAACTATACAACGTCGCAAACGAAGATACATAGTCTCGCATTTTGGTCATCGATATGCTCTTTTTCGGACGAATCAGAAACAGTTGTTCCATGTTACGAAATGCACTTAGTTCATTTATCGATTAATGAGGAATTTGCAGGTGTCTGAAATTTGATGAATTCTATGTTCAAGGGGAGACTACCAAGTGAACTCAACACGAGGATGCACTTGGTTCATTAATTGGACAGCGTTAAGCAGAAAGGAACCAAGCCACATCAGCTATTGCAAAATTTAACCGGGCGATCTAATTTTTTACAAGAGAACGTTCCTGCGGATTTCTTTGAAAATTTTAAGAAACTGATTCGTACTATGCAAAAAATTCATTGAAATTTGCACAAAAATCCGCTTACCCGTACCCGCTTTCACGTAAAAAAATCGAATTGCTCTGTTAAATCTGGCAATAGCTGATAGGCTTAGTTCCTTTCTGCTAAACGTGGTCCAATGGAGATGTTGCATGTGTGAGGGATTTGCGATTTGACCATTGATTCTTATGTAAAAGTTCGCGAGAAACACGATGGTGCCACTGGTTTTCTCTGAAATCATCTCTCAAGCTCAAAAAAAGCTCTCAAGTTGAGGCCAAAATGGAGGGGATATCCCACCCTACCCTGAGAGTCCACCTCTACATCAAGACAAACTCTCCATGCAAAGATAGGGAGCAAATACATTGACAGGGCTGCCACTTTATTCGGGGACTCTAAGACTGAAAACGCGGCAACCCGGCTAATGTATTTGCTCCCTATCTTTGCATGGAGAGTTTGTCTTGATGTAGACGTAAACTCTCAGGGTAGAGTGGGATGTCCCCTCCATTTTGGCCTCAACTTGAGAGCTTTTTTTAGCTTGGGAGTTGATTTCAGAAAAAACCAGTGGAACCATCGTGTTTCTCGCGAACTTTTACATAAGAATCAACAGTCTAATCGCAAATTCCTCACACATGCAACATCTCCATTGAACAATTGATGAAAGAGATATGACAAAATGAATTTGCTAAAGTACATGTGTTTAAACGAGGAATGCCGCTCGAATACGTCACTAGGCGATGCATTTTATCACTTTTAAATATATTTTTACACTATTTCTCATGTCAAAAAATATTTAAAAAATAATGTGAAATCAGGTCCTTAAACACTCCCAGACGAAGCAATAAAAAATGTTACGCGCAAATTCTCCATTGTCTCTACAACAACTGTCAGATTCAGCGTTCCTTTTCCTAGACAACAGTGCTGCCATGCTAAGGAAAAACGCCGTATGAACATTCGAGAGGTACCGAATTTCCTCCGATGAAGTGTTTATTTTTAAGTAGATTTATGCATATTTTCTCTTGAAATTTTCAGATAATTTAAATCTCACAAAATATTAAGCAAAAATGACCATCAAATGGAAACAAGAAACATTCTAGTGACAACTACGAGAAATGTTGACACGGGCTGTAACTGGGATAGCTTTGAGTTTAGGGATGTCATATTTTTCAACAAGTTACTCAAAGAGTTGAAAAAATCTTTATCAAAGCTGAGTCGCCAAATTTGTTCATTAAGGTATTAAAAGAACACTTTTTTACAAAACCCTCTCTACACCTTGCAAGAGTTTTTAAATTTGTAAGATTACTCTTCTTTGTAACTTTTTCTAATGTGACTTGTATTAAGCCTTTCTGTTCAGGCTACACTGAAAAAAAATCTCGGTGTATTTACTAAGAAAAGGGTAAAAGTACCAAGAATTCAGGGTTTTATTTTAGCCCAGTTTCTTCTTGGTAAAATTACCATTTATGGAATTGGTAATTTTACCGAGAAATCTCGGTAAAATTGTTGAACTTCCTCGGTAATTTTACTGGACCTTGGTAAAAATGCCAATATTTTTTATCGACTGTGGTAAAATTACTGGGATGAAATGGCAAAGTTACCGGGAATTGATTACCAATAAAAGTGGTATTTTTACCTGAAAAAAACTGTAAAAATACCGGTTTTTCGGTAAGCTTACTGGTCTGTCTTGGTAAAATTACCAATAGTTGGTAAAAAAATTGAGATACCAACGGACCTTGGTAAAAACGCCGATAATTTTTTTCATTGTAATGTACTAATCTTTACAAATAAATAAATACAAGTTTTCCTGAAAATTCATATTTAATTGATGGAAATTTGGCAACTGACGAAGGTTCATACGGCGTTTTTCCTTAGCGCGGCAGAGTTAGAAACATCGGAGTTACCTGTGTCAGGTTTGGCGATCCCCTTTTCGTGCTGCACCAACATGTCAATTATCGTCGGGTCGTTTCGCGGAAGACTGGTAGCATATTTCGCCCGCGACCCCCAAAATCACTCCCGCCCCCCTCCGCCCGCGGGGCCCGAAATCCACGTCACCGGCACCCGAAAATGACGTCACGTCATCGGCTCCTTGACGAACCGCCGGGAATCAATCCCGAAAACACTTCCGAAAACAGGAGACGCGGAGGATGGACGAGTTTCCGAACACGGCGCGGAGGTGAGGAAGCTGAGATCGGCTCCTGCGATTGACGGCTCGGCGTACTGAGAGTGGAGCTAGACGTTTGTACGTACTCGCGTATGCCCCTCTACTCGCGCTAGTGCTCGGGGCGTGACGTCATCCGGGTTTTTGAGTTTTTGGAGGGCTGCCTTTTCGCATTTGAATAGATCGTTTTCGATAGTGGTTCGATGTGTCGTTTGGCTCAAAGCAATAGAACGTAACCTCAAACGAAAATGTTCGAACATCTGTCAGAGAAGCTAAACATGAGAAATTTCCTAGCAATATCACTACTTTTGGCAAATTAGTGCTCATACATACATGAGTCGCTTTTATAGCACTCTTTGACGCTGTGCGACGCCTAATCGCCACAAAACTCGGTCTTCCCACAGGTCATCAGGGAGTTGACACTCCCTCATTTCATTTAATACCCCCTGTCGCCACCCTGCTCTCACTGGGCATCCCCTTCGTCTCCTCCCAGGAGGAACCCTATCAGGCATCTTTTTTGGCAGCCTCTCTTCTGTCATCCTCTTGACGTGACCGTGCCAGACAAGCTGTTTGGTCATGACGTCCATTAGTGCTCATACGAATCTAAAATCTATCACAAAAAACCCGTTCCGTCAGATTACTCAATTGACTTTTGAGGCTATGTCTATGTTTTGAACCAATCGATATCGATGCAATCTCACCCGTTTCATGTATCGAAAACGATCCATAGAGATCAAAACTTCGGCACACCAAAATTTCGGATCCGAAACAGTGACGTGGCGTGCTTTGCGATATATCGATTGATCGGTCATTTAAACCAATGGAAAAGTATCGATAAATAGAACGTTCGCAGAGAACACCTTAAGAATCGATTATTTACCACAGATTCAAATGGGGAAATATCGATAGATCGCAAAGCACGCTACGCCACTGATTCTAAATAAATATTATTCTGATGTACTACTGTTGCGACAGGGGGTTATGGATGAGATGAGGGAATGCCAACTCCCCGATGACCTGTGGGAGGATCGAGTTTTGTGGCAGATGGGCGTCGCAGAGCGCCGGAGAGCGCTGTCAAGGTGTTCGCTGCGAACACTCTGTTTATCGATCCTTTTCCATGGGTTTAAATGGAATAACAATCGATATATCGCAAAGCACGCCACGCCACTGTGACCGTCGTATTGCAGAAAACATTTATCTGCGGAAAAACTCTTGAAAAACGCGTATCTACCAATCTGTGATGCATTTATAAGATTTTTGTTTTTAAACTCTCCTTGTCAATGGATCACTTCTGGTGAAGAACATTCAATTAAGAGTATTCTTTAACCTAATCGCGATAGCCTAAAATAGAATGGATTTTCTTGCATAAAGGCGTGAATCCATTCTAACGTATGGAAAGTACCACTGAGAGTTCTTACTTATACAGTTGAATAATCGAAAAAATCTCCTCAGGAAATTTTCCTAAATTTGTGATCGCAAGACGAACATGGTTCATTTTTTCGCCAGGAAATTCGCTCGATTATCTATCCGTGCAAAAATAAAATATCTTCGTGAAGTTCCAATTCTGAGTGTTACCAATCAAAAGGCACTCATGATGAAACGGATTTACGCCTCTTTACAAGAAATCGATTCAATTCTGAGTGTTAACAATCAAAAGGCTTTCACTCTACGATGGGAAAGGCGGGCGAGAAATTTGTAGTGAAACTCTGCTAATACTGCCCTGCTACAGAAAAACGCCGTATGAACCTCCAGGCGTTGCCAGATTTCGATTGATAAAACACTAATTTCCTGATAATCTCATGATTATTTTTCCTCCACTTTCTCAGACAATAATGTTTACGATTTCACCTAAAGTTCCTGAAAATTTCAAGTAAAAATTTTCATATTTTTCCACAAAAATAAAAACTTTACTGACGGAAATTCGGCAACTCTGGAATGTTCATACGGCGTTCTTGCCCAGCACGGCAGAATACCATTGGAACACTTCAACTGATTTTGACACTCGACTTAATTGAATTAGCACTCAGGTACAAGAGCCACCAATCCCGCGCGTGCCGGAGCCAAAATCTCGATCGATTCCAAGTGCAAACCGACTAATTATTACTGCGCCTCTCATTACATCTCAAAATAGGCGAGAACGAGCGAGGAAGAGCTGATACTCCTTGGCCACTCTAAAAATTGCGCGGTTTTTAGGGACTACAAGAGAAAACTTGACGCTTCTTAACGTAAGGGCGTACCTCAATTGAATCAGTGAGTTCGAAAACACACCAATGGACCACTAGACAAGGTACGACTTTAAGCAATCTATACATGTTTCTTAACCAGAATTTCACGTAGAACGCGAATATTACTGAAACTGACTCCTAACGAAGATATTAACGTTTTTATTTCACATTGGTTACGAGGAATTCGAACTGCCCGCTCACAAGAAACTCAAAGCTCTACGTGAGTCAAATCGTGCACTACAACGGTTTCAGCAAGCTTCTCAATCGAGCAATGTTCATTTCCCACCAAGTGTTGTTCAAACTCCAAGCAATTTGCTATAGCTGAGCCAAAGCATCATGATTGAGATTGCCAGATTTTTAAATCGCAGATACTGTCATGATAACGTTTAGCGCGCGATGTGAATCACGTAGAGCATTGAGCTTTCGTGAGCGGGTGGTTTGAATTTACGCATCAAGAATTATTAAATATCTTCGTAAGGAGTTGATATCGGTAATTTTCGTTGTGCGCACCGTGTTTTACGTGAAATTTTGGTTAGGAAACATGTATCAAAATGCTGAAATTCGTACCTTGTCTGGTGGTCCATTCGGGAAAAAAAATTGTTCAGGTAACACCTAAAACTACGCAGCGGGCAAAGAAGTTAATTTAAGAAAAACCTTTTTGGTGCCAAAGGACAAGTACTTAGAGACTTTGTAAAGCACCAAGTTGAAATCGATACACCATGTTTGATGACAGAGAATTAAGCGTTTAAAAATTTCCGAGTTGGTGTGTTTTCGTTCTCATTGACTTTCAGATAGGTACCGATTTTTCATTGCCTGCCAAGAAAAATTTATATTTTTCGACCTGAATAACACTTGAATATTTATATAACTTATTGGTACGAGGTATACTGAACCGAAAAAGGAAAACCGCAAAATCGGATGGTCACTTGTTTCCCTTGAAATGGCCAAAAATTGGTATTTCCAATGAAATACTTAATCGATTCTTCCCTTTTCCCGTCGCTATTTCGAGCACTTCCGATTGCAATTTCGAAATTTCCTTTTGCTTGCAGATGCTTCTGTCCATAAGTATTACTAAACCGTGAAAAAGTGAAAATCGAAAGAAACCCGTGTTGGTGTGTTTTCGAACTCACTGATTCGTATGGGAAACAGGGCTTACATGGAAAGTGAGAAACGTCCTTACACCAAAGGAGCGACGAATAATGGTGAGATAAAAACCAAATTGAAGTCAATTTTCTTAAATTTAGTTGAAATGGTTGAGCCTCTTGTAACTGGCGTACTGAAAATGGAACTACACTGAGACTACGTCGCAGACTTCCTGTCATACTTTATTTCCCTGGTAAAAATTGGCAGTTGAATCTGTGTTCCAAAATACCATAGATAAGACCTACAGCCGGCTGTAAGGTTTCCAATAGCTTCTATAGCCGGCAGCACAATTTCTTATAGCCTCTTATAGCCAATGGCGATTAAGCAACAGCCTGGCGATAAAGTGTATGCTAAACGTTACTAATTACGGATGCTAGGACTTCGTGAGTTTTTGGACTACCGCTCTCTTTTTGGGCCGTAGTATCTTGATTTACTTTGCGAGGAAAGCCCGAAAGCACCGAACTTTTGAAGGATGCCTGCCATTCCTAATATGTTGGAGCGCCTTCAATTTCGTATGATACTGTGCAATACCTCTGGTGTGAAATAGTTGCTTCAAGCGCCGTGGTACGCTGCGGCGCGGCGCGGCGGGCGGGCAGCCAGCGCGAAACGCGCATTGGCGCCTACAAACCTAACACGGATACTTCACGCATTGCGCAATGCGTGAAGTGTTCCTGTTAGGTTTGTAGGCGCCAGTGCGCCGCCGCTCCGCTTTGTGTTAGGCTCCAATATTTAATCTCGTGGAATCAGCGTTTTCAACTCATGACTTTGAAATGTTTGCACACTCTGTATGGATTATTCTCATTTTAATTGATGAAAAAAAATAATGTGCGTTTTGTAAATATTAAGGTGATTCCGTATAAACCTCAGGATTTACAAAGCACACGAATTTCTACACAATTTCTTATAGCCTTTTATAGCCGATGGCGAAAAAGCAACAGCCAGGCGATAAAGTGTAAAGCCCGGCGATAGAAACTATGGCCCGGCTGTATAATTTTTTATCGCTTCGTGTAGCCCGGCCGTATGATTTTTGCCACTTTCTACAGCCAACTATATGCTTTTCTATAGCCTTCTTCAGTCGGCTTTAAGAACTCCTATTGTATTTTGAAAAGCAGCTCCTATCGCCAATTTTTACCAGGGAGGAATGCATTTTCCGAGTCTCTCCATTTTTTTCTGCGCTAATTTCACCTCAAACTGTACCAAAATCAACAAAAAATTTGTGTTGGTTTGTGTTTCACTTCCTATATTAACCAAAAGTAACACAAAAACACAAATCGACGGCGTAAGTCCGCAATCTTATATCTCGTCTGCGGTGTCTGAAAATCTCCGCCGCTATGTTATTTTTTTAAAGGAGAACAAATTGACAGCATTCCTTAAAGTTAATGCAGAATTTTCTTTGCATGGAGCAGAAAAATCACGGCAGTTTAAAAGAATTGCCGTTGAGTACTTTTATGTTTAAAAATCTCCGATTGCAACGTTGGTATTCACCATTGGCGGATCCAGAAAATTAGCAACATTGTCTTTTCTCCATTTCAACCTAGAAATGTATCGATTCTTGGAGGGGCCAGGTGCTCCGACAAGAATCAATTATTTAGCATATGTTTGAATGGAGGAATCCGGTGTTGTCAAATTGCTGGATCCGCCTCTGGTATTCGCCACTTTTTTGGGCGCTTCTGGGTACCAGATGCGCCCTTTCCAGCCGTTCGACT